CCATCGCTTCTTGCCACGCACAGTTGCTGCTGTTCTAGTTCTGTTTATACTTAAGGAAAGTTTTACAGTACAATAATATGTTTTTGCTTTTTTTCCTTAAGGCTTAGCTGTTATTAGTGTGTTTATAGAAGTTTAAGGGTAACAGGATCAGACATGGAAACAGCAGCAGCCAAGTTATTTCACTGGCTTATCAGTTGCTCTGCAGACTTGACTTACATTTTCCTATGCTATTACAACTTATTGTGTGTTTCATTGAAATCATAGTTATAACCGAGTTGAAATACAGGGGGTTTGGATGGGGGTCATCCAGTGATTGCAAGACATACTAAACATAGTGGAGAAAATGTATGGATTTCACTTTAACAGTTTCCTCACAACCATATTTTACATGTTGAACCTGTGTGCTTGCACACACAGTACAGCTTTTCACAAATCTAAGTTGTTGGTGTAAAGTTTATTGGAGTACTGTACTGTATCTTTATCTGTTCTTCTTCATTAATATAGATGAATTTATTATTGATGAAAAGTTAAACTGTTATCAGTATCCGTGTGATGGGTCAAGTTCGGTGGGGGGAGGTGTCTTGACCCTGGAGTGTACCTGGTGGTGGAGACAAAGGCGGGCACAGGCCAGCTTGGGATACTGGCAGTGAGTACCTGCAGTATGTTTAGGTGGAGACCAGCAAAGGTGAAGTGTCAGGTGCATCATGCCCTCCTTTGGGGCTTTGCTGAGCCATAGTGGCTCTGGCTGGTGGAGGGGCATCTTTCCATCATTTGCTATACAATAGGGTCTGGATGTGTCTCTTGGGCCACTGTTCCTCTGCATCATGTGGCATGCTGCATATGTATCAAATGTGGTGTCCAAGTGGATACAAGGTTTCTATCCTTAGAGTCGCTATTTCATCCTAGGGCACACACTGTCGACCCAACTGTAAATGGGTATCTAATTGTACATATTGGGGAAATGAAAGCGGTCAAGTGTGGTGCTGGCCACGCTACAGTGTGCTGTATCCTCATTGTCTTTAATGGACAGTCATGTCTAGGAATCCTCTTTTCCTTGTCGTTATCCTTTCATCCAAGATACATAGAGATATGCAAAATGTCAGAGGGTGTCACCTTTGATTGGTTGATTGATACTCGCAAACAGAAGGGTCTCTTTGAGAAATGGGTCCCATAAAAAAATGAATTTGTTTAGAAAAACAACATGATTTGGAGATCTTTTCAGTTTCTCTAAATTAAGTATAAAGGATCTGCGATCTGTAGTATAATGATTGTATTATCAGAACAAGATTAAAGAAAATAATAACATAGACCTTATTAATAAATGTGTTTCTTTATACACCTTTCTATATACTGTACTGTATACTGTTTTTGCTATGTATTTGTCTCCATTTTAGTAGTGTACCTTAAGGATAATTCGTGCTAAGATTTTATTTTATTTTTTAATCATAATGAATTAAAATACAGGGTGCTGTTTTAATTCATAGGATGAACTAGGGGAATTTATGTAGATCAAACGAGGTGGGTTTTTTATGAGTGCGAAATATTGCATTTTTATAGGTTTCCTGTAGAACTTGTTAAATAACTGTACTGATCAGTAAGTTTATTATTTATTTGTGAGCTTGAAATTAAAAAAAACTGATGGTAATGGTGGAGCAGATGGTTAGCTCCAGAAGGACTTTATGGAATTTCAGAAAGAAAGTGAATATATAATGGTCTTGATACAGTGGTAAAGTTTTCTACAATATCTTTTGTTATTAGTCAGGATCATGTGGATGGGAGATGATAGTTGTGTGATGTATATAAGGCATAAGTGTTTTATGTGTTGCTACAGTAATGTAATGTGTGTGTAGTGACCTAGAATCATTAGTTACTGAGTTTGGCATGAAGAATGGCTGTTTGATATAGATTTTTCTCTGAACACTTGCACCAGGTTAAACTTAACGTAGACTCGTGAGCAAATTAGATTTTTCTGTTTCTTTTGTTGGATTTATGTAGCTTAGCTTGCAGGTATATTAGTCATCCTTAAGTTTTGAAGTACAGTACAGTCGTATTTTTTACAGTATTTGGTAGATCTTCATTTAGTAATTCTGAAGGGTTGCAATTTTATAAAAGATCAAATAAATACATAAGTACAGAACTCTATGTGAAGTCTGGTAGTGAGATGTGGATAGAGTACAGATAGAAGTTTGGTATAAACATTAAGATGTATCAAAAACAGTATTTTTAGGTTATTTTTATGGATACAGTGAACCCTCACTTTACGCGGTTAATTCAACCCACGGCGGCCTGCGTAAAGTGAGAAACGCGTAAAGTGAACAACATAACATGGGATTAATTGAAATAGAGACTGGGCCGACCCCCAAACTCCACTTTTTCACGACACAATACGTACGTTTTACTAAAAAAAATATCTTGACTTAATGATGGTATTCACCCACATAATATAGAAGGGAACAGTCAATAAACTGAAGGTTAGGTTAGAAAAAAACAAGGTTGGGGTTTACACTTACGTTAGTAGAAGAGATGGGTCGGCGTAGGGGAATGGAGGCTGGTTCCGAGGCAGAGGGCAGGCTACCGGCCCTCAGGTGAGTCTTCATCGGTGTCATCCACACTTACTAGTGCCTCCCTGACAAATCCCTCAAAGTCATCATCACTGTCTCTGCCTCTGTCACTGTAACTGGCTTGGGCTGGCTGTGGTGGGTTGCGGGCGAAGAACTCTGTTATGCTTTGCTGACGGCTGGTGTTTATGTTGTCGTGATAAACCTTGATGTAGGGCTCCATAGTCTGCAACAGCTGGGTAGTGAAGATTTCATACCTGTTTGCGTCAGGGTCGTCGGAAAGGAGGAGCTTGACTTTCTCAATACATTCGATGGCACCCCTAATATTACTATGGGATAAGCGGCATTCTTCTTGGGATGACGCACCACCTGCCTCTTCACTGACGTCATCATCATCTACCATCTCGTCGGTAGTCACATCAGGATGTCGTCGTTGGTGGTCTCGGAGAAGCCTGCAGCTGTAACACTCTGCGCAGCTTCTCTGGCAAGGTCCACTGCTACTGCAACAGTCTGAACCTCACCAGTCACAGATTTACTCTGCCTAACACCCGGAATGCCTTGCAACACATGTCTCCATGCGTGACGAACAGTTGCAACAGACAGCTGATCCCATGCCTCCACCAAGAAGTCCACAGCTTTCTTGACGTTGAATGTTCTCCAGAATTGTTTTAAAAGTACTTCTTGCTCTGCCAACTGTTGATCCTTGTCGTCTTCGCTTTTGCTATCGGTGTTGGTGTCACTCAGGTTACGCAACTCTTCCTTTGTGTTGGTGTAGTAGTTCAGTCGGTTGAATTTTTTAGCAGAGAATGCAGCTTTTACATTACAGATCAATTCTTGGTCCATGGGTTGTATTATAGACGTAGTGTTGGGAGGAAGGAAGACCACTTTTATGTTGGGGTGACGATCTAACAGTAGGGGCGAGTGTCCTGGTGCGTTGTCCAGCAGCAACAAAATCTTGAATGGCACATTCTGTTGCTCACAGAATTTCTTCACATCGGGAACGAAACAGTCATCAAACCAGGAGAGGGACAGTGTAGAGAACATCCACGCCTTACGTGCGGTCAGCCAGTGGACATTTAGCTTGGTCATGTCCATGCTCTTGTAGGCTTGCGTGCTGTGTGGATCACCGATAACTTGAGCTTACAGGTACCGGAGGCATTGGTGGTGAACAGGACGGTGATGCGCTCCTTCTGCAACTTCCGGCACCGACACTTGCTGGCATTCTTCACAACGAAGGTCTTGGAAGGTAGCTTTTTCCAAAAAAGACCAGATTCGTCCATGTTAAACACCTGGTAGTCGGTGTACTGTCCTTCCTCCATAATCTCATGTAAAAACGGAGGAAATTCCCTAGCCACAACACGGTCAGCACTAGCTTCTTCACCACCAATGTTGATATTGGTGATCTTGTTTCTCTTCTTAAACCTCTGTAACCACCCAGGAAGCATTAAAGGGTTTGGGCTCTGTAATTCCCATCTTGCGTGACACTGCAGCATACAGTTCACGTGCGTACTCCTTAACTGAGCGCGTGTCCACCGCCATGTTCCGTCGCGCCTGACGCACCAAGTAGCTCACAAGTAATTTTTCCATCTTGAGAAGCACCTGGTTGTGGAAATATTTGATCATAGAAGCACCTGTAGACTTTGTGATGTTCATGTGCTCCTTTATCTTGGCTGCATCCTTCTTAATTGTCCTGATAGTTGATTTGTTAACACCATGCTGGCGCGCGAGATCAACCTGTCTTGTTCCTTTCTCCAACTCTTGTATGATCTTATATTTGATTTTGTAGCTTAAGGAACGTCGTGTCTTCTTTGGCTTAGGGCGGCTGGGTCCAGGTAATGCAAGGTTTATTTGTGGTGGTGGTGGTCCGGTGGAAGCCATTCTTATGGAACAATGGATACCGATATACTCGGTGTAGCCTGGAGGGGTGTAACTGACGCGGTAGGTCAAGGGGCTTGAACGCTCCCGCGGCGGGGCACGTCATAGTACTAAATTAAACCAATCACAGCTAGCAGGGAGGGAAGTAAGGATGCTTTGCCCAATCACAGTCCGCTACGTCATATGACGTCACCGATAACGCAACAAAGACATACACTGCACAACCTACTTGCGCCGCTTACACAACATGGCGGATGGCCGGAGGTTTGGATCCAAAAATGGCGCGGCGCGTGAGGACCGCCAGCCGCTCTCCGCGTAAAGGGGTACACGCACAGTGGAAAGTGAGCATTCCGGTTTCGGCAGGGTACTGCATAAACGTGGAAACGCGTAAAGTGGGACCGCGTAAAGCGAGGGTTGACTGTAGTTGATAATGCATTGCTTGTTAATATGCTAATGCATAGGATGCTTATTTCTCTGTGATATTGGGGGCTTGAAGTGTATTCAGATATATTTTTTGTTATAATGCAATTATCTCAGCCTTTGAGGAATATCACTGTTCATCTTCAGGTTTGTTGCTGGAGTAATCCTTCGTGAAAGAATTCCTGCATTTGAACGGATGCTGTGGCGTGCGTGTCGTGGCAATGTGTTCCTTCGACAAGCTGAAATGGATGATCCATTAGAGGACCCAGCCTCTGTGAGTTGTAATACTTAAGTTAGATGTAAGGCCACATCACAGTATCCTTGTAAGAATTAGGATAATTAAGAAATGCTTGTCAAGGCATCTCATTTTCTCAGTCAATTACTTTACTTACCTGTGTTTTTCCTTGAATTTTATCTTATTCGTTCCTTTATTTTTTGTAGTACATTTTGGTACAGTTGAATTTGGTATGTAGTTCCTCATTTGCCATTATTCTTACACTGTGATGATGCAGTTAATACTTGCATAACCATACTGAATACTGTATGTGTTCTGTACTGTGTATCAGCTTCCTCAGGCAAATAAAAATTATCTCTCAGGGTGAGCAAGTCTACAAGTCGGTGTTCATCATCTTCTTCCAAGGAGATCACCTGAAGATGCGTGTCAAAAAGATTTGTGAGGGTTTCCGAGCTACCATGTACCCTTGTCCTGAAGCTCCAGCTGATAGACGTGAAATGGCTATGGGGGTTAAGACACGTCTAGATGATCTCAATACTGTGAGTACTGTAAGAAAAAAAAGGTGAGCTTTGGATAAATTTCTGAAAATTATTTAGTGGTTCCATAAATGGTACTTATCATGACACATCAATTCTGTACAGGTATTGAGCCAGACACAAGACCATCGTCATCGAGTGTTGGTGTCTGCTGCGAGAAATATCCGGGCCTGGATGATGAAAGTTTGGAAGATAAAGAGTATTTATCATACACTCAACATGTTTAACTTGGATGTCATCCAGAATGGTCTGATTGCTGAATGCTGGATCCCTGTTGCTAATTTGGAGGATGTGCAGTTGGCTCTTCGGCGAGGCACTGTAAGTACAGTATATACAGTACTGTGATAAACCAGGCCACTTGCATAATATGCACCAGTACTGTAGAAAGTCCCTCACACTACAAGGACAGTAATGAAATAATTACACTGTAAATTTTGTACAGTATTGAATCCCATGTACTATAAATATTTTAAGTCACATTAAATAATAAGCTGTTACTTCCTTTTCAGGAAAAGAGCGGGAGTTTACCGGCAATTCTAAACCGATTGAGCACACATGAGGCCCCACCTACATTTCATCGTACAAACAAATTTACAAAAGCCTTTCAAACACTGATAGATTCCTATGGTGTGGCTACGTATCGGGAGATAAACCCGGGTAATTAATCACTTGTATTTTAATTTTTCCAGAAAAATTCCCTCAACATTCATAATTCTTTTGTTGATACTTTGAACCATCCTGAAACATTAGCTTAGACCATTTTTTTCTTATATATATATATATATATATATATATATATATATATATATATATATATATATATATATATATATATATATATATATATATATATATATATATATATATATATATATATATATATATAAAACTATAGTTTGGGAGGTATGAGAACAAAATTAGGCTTTATTTTAATAGCAAGTGATAGGAGAATGATAAGTTAGTGGGTTGGAGAATTTAATCAATGATGAAGTAAAATAAAAGTGAAACCATAACTTGTTAAAGAAAGAATGTGAAGGAATGAATATATCACTCAAAGATTTATGATAAAACCACATGACAAAGAATGTTCAGGCTGCTTTCCAATAGAATGATCTAATTTCTTTCCTCAGCACCGTACACCATCATAACATTCCCATTCCTGTTTGCCGTTATGTTTGGTGACGTTGGACATGGAATAATTATGGCACTCTTTGGGGGTTGGATGGTGTGGCGAGAAAAACCGCTAGCAGCTAAGAAGACAGACAATGAGGTATAGTATATGAAGTGAAAGAATTTATTTGAAATAATTCTTTTGGGTGTATTGGTGTATTTAAATACTGTATTATCACATGATCTGGTTTGTTCTTAACTCATTAGAGAAGCTATTTGTCTTAGATAAATTGTAATGCTAGAATTTATCTTAAATGTTAATGTTCTTAACTTTGTTTTCGAATATGTAGAAATTAGGGTGCCCAAGATTTAGTCACTAGAATTTACTGATACTGTACAGCTAAATGAAGTTTTCAATTGTGATATTTCTGTAGAAATAAGAAATTTGTATTTGAGTGTGTACAGTATAGTATATTGATTACTACTGTATAATATTAATGTTGATGGAAAAGACCACTTCAAATGGATTTATTTAAGAAGCTAGTTATAAATGTGTCATTATTTCAGATCTGGAACATATTCTTTGGAGGTCGCTACATCATCCTCTTGATGGGTCTGTTCTCCATGTACACTGGACTCATCTATAATGATATCTTCTCCAAATCCATGAATTTATTTGGCTCTTCCTGGCATGGAGTCTATGAGTGAGTTTATTACCAAATACAATACAGGAATCTTAAAAAAAATGTCATACAATACCTATCAATGTAGATAAAGATGAAGTTAATACTTGGTAGTCGTGCAGTTAGTAAGTGTCACCTATACCTTTTTTAAGGTACCAGTGTCATTTTTTCCCAGTGAAATGACATTGTTTTAGCCGAGAATTGTTGTCAGAGCAGTACTGATACAAATGGCAAAGACATACACCTCTGCAACTGCCCTGCTTGGGGGTTTTAGGGGCAAATGCAATACAGATGCAGCTGTTCATTAGTCAGGTGATGGCTTTTGAGATGGATATTAATAAAGTAAAGAGATGTGGTTTTGGAGGATTTTCAGCACAGTGCTTGTTGATGTCCTCATTTTGGTTAAAATACAGTAATATCTCAGTTAATCGGAATCCCTCAAACCCGGAACTCTCCGATAGCTGGAAGGAATTGAAATTTTCTCGGAAAATCGTTCTTAATGCCGTAATTTTCCGGAAAATTACAGCTTTGGGAATAATTTTCCAAGGGGCACATTTTCCGGAAATTCAGAGAAAATTTTTCTGGTACCCTGAAAATTCTGGGGATAGGGGATGCTTTTCCGGGTTCGAGAGATGATGTAATGGGCAATTTCTGGAACTTCCGAGAAAATTTTTTCATTACCAGGAAAATTCCGGGGATGAGGGATGCTTTTCCAGGTTCGAGAGAGTCGTCTCGTTACCCGGAAGTCTCTCATTCCCGGAAGTGCTCTGCACCAATTGTTCTGGCTAACGTAGATAACACTGCTATGGCACTAGCTTCCTTCCTGGCACATTCACATTTCAGTAGTATCAGCTGTTGTAGTGACACAGAATATTTACTGTTTCATTATTCTGTTTATGGATATTTAATTATCACTGTGTACCTGACTTATGAGTTTTATCTTGCACTCATGATATGTGTTTTATCATTCTTATCGTATTTTCTTTCAAATCTGCATGATGAGGTTATCCCATAGACACTGTACATCCTTTAATCTTCATCTCGAAATTTCTTTAAAGTTTCATCTCTGTATTTAATCCTAAAAAAGATTTAATGACAACAAATGAGGGAGGGGATGGGTTGTCCAGTGTCCACCCTACAGAACTGAAGAAAAAGGCTTGCAAGAGTGAAATAAATATCCTTTACATCCTTTTCTGTGCTTTCACTTACAGGTTATCAGAGTCCTCTCACATTTCATACTTGTCTTGCACTAATCTCTGTTTTGTGATCCACCCCACTTGAGTGTGAGAGAGGTAAAGGTAATGAATGGATTGATGGAAATACTGTAGTAAGAATATTGTGCTTCCCTTACAGTGAATCTACCATCGAGCACAACAAAGAACTCATATTAGATCCAGGAAATCGTGAACAGTATAGCCAGACCCCATACCCATTTGGTCTGGATCCCATGTGGCAACTATCCACCAATAAAATCAACTTTTACAATTCCTACAAAATGAAGATCTCGATTATATTTGGAATTATCCACATGATGTTTGGTGTGATCCTCAGTGTATGGAACCACAGGTAAGGCTTGCTTTTGTAATAGTTCCTTAGTGAAAAAAAGTAAGATAAAATATGCCCTTGAACCATTTAACTCACATGTAAGCCTTGTAATTCTTGGTTATACAGTACAGTATTACATATTTTGTTTATTTCTATTAATATCTATGCCCCTGTATCTGAGTATGCATATATCTGAGTAAATCTTTCTTGTCATCAGATTCTTCGACAGATCCATGAATATCTACTGTGAGTTCATCCCCCAGGTGTTGTTTTTAACCTGCCTGTTCGTGTATATGGTCTTCCTTGTGTTCCATAAGTGGGTATGGTATGGTGCACTTGGGACTGTGTCACAGTCTTCAAGTTGTGCACCATCCATCCTTATTACCTTCATCAACATGGTGAGTTTTATGGTTATTGTATAGTTTAGTGCTAGTAGAGGGAATTGTTCATCCCTAGTCAGAGAGATTTATTTACCTCTTGAGAATTTTTATCATTCAGATGGTTCCACAGGTACTTGGATGGGAACCTTCAAGACCAGACTTGGTTAGGGCTTCAGTTATCACACAAAAGAAGATTATTTTCTACTTAAGCAATTCTTAAAGAAAACAGTTTAAGTGATATAGGTTTTTAATTAATGAAGAATTTTTGAGGAAAGCAGTTTTAATAACTTTTATATTATTTTAGCCTCTTTACCCACAAAAGACAAGTATGATTTGGAGGCTGTGTGATAGATGTTTTGTTGAAGCTTTAATTGTAATAATGGAAATGAAAGCGACTCACATAATTTAAAACATTTCTATTATTTTTTTATCATTAAGTAAAAATTTATAGAACAGACCAGAAAGAATAATTGTAAGAACCACTTTCCTTGATATCTAGAGATTATGTCTCGTCCTCAATTTATAGAAACTGATAGACAACTTGACATTGAGAAATGATGGCTTGTCTACCATATGTTGTGTGTTTTGTACCACATTGGGAAGGGAGATGATATTTGCACAGTAAAAATATTGGCAAGATTATTTTGAACATGGGAAATGTTATGATAGAAAGAAAAGAAGTTGGTACAATTGTAGTTTTTCTGATACATGAATAGAAAGAACATCTTCACTACGGTTAATATTTACTTTTTAGGTACTGGTAAAAGGATATCAAGATCACGAGGGTGAAGATTGCTCGCCGTACATGTTTGCTGGACAGTTTGGAATCCAGAGGTTCCTTCTTATAGTTGCCCTCCTATGTGTACCATGGATGCTGTGTGTCAAACCATTCCTTCTCCATCGCAATAACAAACGAAGACAGCTGGTACGAAATTTGTCTTATGAAATATAATGTACTATTGCTGTGGGTAAGGGAGAGAAAGAGAGAGAGAGAGAGAGAGAGAGACTGTTATACTGGGGAATTATTGAATTGAAATTACTGTATTTCCTTGTGGGTATGAAGCATGGATTCTGGGTACAAGAAGAAGCAACAGAGAAGCAGTGGCAAGTGATACTCCAGGTATGTGAGAACAATATGTGGGATAGATAGGATGCAGAGGATATGATGTATGGAAATGGGTAGGTGTCAAAGGGAAGGAAGTGGTGGGTAGAAAGTGAGTCAGGGCCAGCTAGCTCCAGTAGTATGAACATATTGCAGGGATGGACAGTGAAAGATTGGCAAGATTTTATATAATTTTTTTTTATTATTATTATTTATTTTAATTGTAAGGTGGATAGCCAAAAAGAAGTGTTTATTTTATAAGTGGATGGATGGATGGTAAAAAGATTGTATGATTCAAATGTGGATGGGAGGAGGGAAAAGTATAAGACGACCAAGAAGGAAAGATGGGGTGAAGATGCACCAGTAATGACAGGGATGGACTTACAGGAAGCAAAAGAGTATACAAATCAGTGGCAGAAAAGGTATGGTGTTGGTAGGTGATGTTGGTTCATATGAAGGGAAAGTTTAACCAGAGATATTTAGGCTGTGGAAGAAGAGTACCAAAACAGAATCCATCTTTTACAACAGGAAGAATGAATGAATGACAATGGAAGAAGTGAGAATGTGTGTGTGTGTGTGTGTGTGTGTGTGTGTAAAACATGGATTTGGTGATATCAAAGGGATGGCCTGACAGAACAGAATGCCCCCCCCAATAACACGACACAGAGTACACAACGCTCACTTTTGATGTCTATTTTTTTTTCCCTTGCACCATGATGTTTTCATTGGTGGTCAGGATCATCAGCTTCATTGTTTATGGTCCTACCGTGCGCGTACAGAACAAAGCGTTTGTTCCGTCAATCTTGTCATTTGTGATCATCTTTCCAACCAACTTTCTGTCTGTCCATTCGCTACTATGTTAGGATTTTTCCTTTATGAAATGAAGTTCTGCAATACTGTATAGTACAGTAGTTGTTTGTTGTTTGCAAGACAGGAAATATGATTTTATGTTCTTAAATATTTTTTCAGGAGACTAGTACAAAAAACAACTTGTCCTCAAAGACCAACTTTCAGGGTAGGTGCTATAGACATCGATCAGAATTGTTACAATCAAAAGAGGTTAGAGGTAACAAGAATTCAGATGCATTTATTGTTTGTGAGAAATGTGAATATAGCAGTAATATGAAACAGAAGGAGAAAGATTATCAAGACTATGACAAGGTATGTTCAAGAGTCATTATTATTATATCTGTTTGTCACTGCTGTAGTAAGGGAAGATTTTCATCATGGAAACCAGTTTAGTTTGGATTGATTAAGTTATGACTGAAAATGTTGTTTTGCTTTTTTAGGGGTGGACTTACTGGCATTGGGTGATGCTAGGTTGTGTGAAATAATACGGATAAATCAGATTGAACTCTTAGGGCCTCTTTCTGGAAGGGAAATAAAGAAGCAGAAGATATTTGTTACAATAGTCAGTATGAATGAATGAATGAACGAATGAATGAGAATTACAATGCACAATGCATTATAGCAGGAAACAGCTTGCAAAATTTGGGGGGGGGGGGAAGTCTTGTTTTAACTTTGTAAATATAGAATACATGTAGCATACTTTATACTGTAGAGGTGAAATGGAGTATTCCCTTTGCTGTCGCTTGGAATCAGATATGACAATCATTCACTGATGACACAATCATCATCACAGTTTTACAGCCATTTTCAACATTCATTAGTGAGCTCAAAGGTGACTTATTAAGGAAAGGTATAACTATCTCAGCTAGCCATTGATTTTCTCTACCCATTGTTCATAGCCCCAATTAAATTAGAGTTTGCCCCCTGAACATGTTTCTCTGCCCATTAGAATGTGGCTTAAGGGAAAGAATCTGGGTGTGTCTTAGTGGACATATTGAATGTACCCAGCAAGCAGAAGCACTATTTGTTTGAATTCAGTGCTTGGCAGGAATGCCAATCATCCTGGTTATATCAATACTGTACCTTTAAGCATTTAATTTTATCTCTAAATTAATATATTTTCCAGTTATTTTACATTTTTAAGAAAGTTTCACTCTAACAAAAGATGAGACCAAATGAATTTGGCAGTGATATGTAAACTGGGAGGGGAAGCGGCAGAGGAATACGTTAGTTGGTCAGTGTTCTAAGGCTGTCAAAAGTAGACTGCCGCTGTTGTATATCCCCCCCCCCCCCAACTTATAGGAAACAAATCATAGTGATGTAAAGCTGCATATTTGTGTCCTGCCTGAAGAATTTAAATGTTTTACCCATCATTTCCTGTAGCTCTAGTTGATATTGATTTGATTATTTTTTCACCCAGCTTGAAATTACTCGTATACTTGGGAAGATCTTGCAAGAAGTACAAATATTATAATTTTCATTGCAGGTGACACAAGCCAATGGAGGTGAGGGAATGGTGGAGGAAGGTGGTGAAGCAGCAGCTGCAGCAGCAGCAGCAGCAGTGACAGAGGAGCTCCATGACATGGGTGAAGTGATGATTCACCAGGGCATCCACACTATTGAATATGTTCTAGGTTCTGTGTCACATACTGCTTCATATCTTCGACTATGGGCTTTGTCTTTAGCTCATGCACGTAAGTGTGGGGTTGAACTGATTTCTTGCTGAAATTTGAGATGTCTGTATTAGGTGAAATTAAAAGAGAATGTAAATTCATTAGTTATGAGTTGCAACTTTCATATTTGAAATCTATATGCTGTTAAACAGTTTTTGGATAGACAGCATCTTCTGACACTACACACTTTTTTTTTCTTGTGTTAACTATTGTAACTCTTTATGGGTCTGCCTACCTAATTATCAACTGAAGAAAGTTCAAACAGTGTTGAACAGGGTTGCCAGGCTTATTTTTGCTTTCCCACTGAGGACTCTCACTACCCCCATTCTTGATCAAATTACATTAGCTTCCAATTACAGTTAGGATAGAGTTCAGACTCTGTCTAATGACTTTTTAGACACTAAATTTTGGTAAGCTCAAGTATTTGGCAAACCAACTAATTACACGGACTACACATTCTGAAATGATTTTGCATAGTAGTGATGATCCTTCATGCCTTGAGGAGCCTAGAACAGTACTGGAATGTTCTTTTTCTGCTCCATCCTTTTCCAATACATCACCCAGATTGTACAATTAGTTGCCTGCACCCATGAAGCAGCTGACTTCTGTGGAAGCCTTTAAGAAACAACAAGATCTTTCTTTTTTTGAAAGACTATAATTCTGAACAGTGAGAATTACAGGGCTTGGGAAGTTTATGAATGATAGAAATTGAACTGTCACTTTTTATGATCTTTTATTGAAGTATAATTTTGAAAAATTTGAAAATGGCTTGAAAAAATATATTTTTTCCCAGTGACATCGGTACTGTGCAACACTCATTGTTCTACCATCTTCATATGGCACTAGCTGTGTTGTGTTTTGTGTTGTCCGTCAGTGATGGTTAACGGTTTTCACTAAGTCACACCGCGACGGTTACAACACTTAAACTCAACAACCCACAAATACAGTGAGTGCCATGGTGTGACCGAGTGAAAACAGTTAAATGGCACTGATGGGTCACGTGATGCCAGATAACCCTCAGGTTCATGTCACGTCTTTTTGTAAAATTAGGTTACGTTTACACAAAATATTAGGTTCCTAACTGGCATACAGTAGTTTATAGTGTATGTGAATTATTTAGGATTCTCGAATAAAAAAAATCACCCTATACATGAAGGGCTACAATAACCTGCCAGCCAGTGGTGTCTGTCTGTAACTGCACTTTAATTTTAGCGTAAAAATGCCTCTAATTATGTGAACGGGACCAGTATTTTTTGCGGACACTGTAAATACCTAATATATCGTACGTGACATGTAACCAATGCTGTTCCTTGTTTTGTTTTTTTATTATTTTTCCTTTTTTTACTTTAATTTTTCTGTAAAAATGTGAAATACTTTTTGGCGAACTTGGCATGATTCGCAAGTAAAATTGACACAAAGTAAGCCAGTATTTGAAGTTCTTTTCGGTGTCTTAAAAAGGCTCAGAAATCAGGAAAGGGCTCCATTTCAAACATTCTGGATTCTCAAGGTTGTACTGTAATTTATTATTTTTATTTATGTATTTATTTATTTATTTATTTATCTTGTCTTTGGGGGAGGCAGGGGAGGAGGAGTACGTGGTTAAATATAAAGTTAATTAATGTAATCATATAAACAATAATTAATATTTTGTTGCCAGAGCTAAGTGAAGTACTGTGGTCAATGGTGCTGCAAATTGGACTAACCTCTGGTGGTGAGGGTGGAAGTGGAGGTATTGTCATGTACTTAATCTTCGCTTTCTGGGCATTTCTGACTGTGGCTATCTTAGTGCTGATGGAAGGCCTCTCTGCGTTCCTCCATACACTTCGATTGCATTGGTAATTTGTTTGTTTTACCTTAGTACAGTATCTAGGTTTTGGATTATAAATAAAAATTCAGTGTTAGACATTCTGATGTGTGTGTAATTAGCTACAGTACTGATTAAAATAAAAACAGGTTGTGTATTGAGTACCCAGGGGGAGAGGTTGGACACAGGTGTAGCTTCCATGCGATATCCAGATCATTGACTGACTATCATGGGAACACACTCGCATGCCTCTCTCAGCATTTTCCAATGATATAAAAAATTAGCAAAAATTTTGTAGTTTTTGAAATTTGGGTCATATAATAACGGTACTCTTATGTTCATTTCATGATATTTTAACCATACTTACCATCACATCTTCCTTATTATTACCAATAACACTTATATTTTGTATTATACACTCATTATATTATCTGTGAAGTTTCTGCCATTTCTCTTAAATTTAAAGTTTTCTGGAAAGCTCCATATGTTAGTATCCTAGATAGACTGTTTTCTCACTAATGCATTCTTCTTTTTGCCAGGGTGGAGTTCCAGAGTAAGTTCTACGGAGGCACAGGTTATCCCTTTGTTCCATTTGCCTTTGAAACTATTCTTGATCAGGCAGAAAATGCTGTAGTTGAACAGTAAGTTGGTGATCGGAGAAAATGCTTAACGGAGAATGAATCTTGCAACTCGAATACCTTGGATGTACTGCTCTCAAAAAACAAGGTACGACCACTGCTTAAGTATATTATTGTGTTCCTATAAAATCACTTATCATAGGTCTTGCAAGGAGTTCTCTAAAACATTTAATATTTGCAAAGGATTTCATTCTGACATTAATCAGAACATTTTATGAGGAGTGTTGAATAGCTGTATAAAGTCAACAGTACACTATTACTTAATTAAAACAATGTAAGGTGATTTACACACCTCTCTCAATACCCCGATCTCTAACAAGTTGACCTATACACAGCTTTTACACTTATGATCTCCAACAAGGTTGACTTGAGCACATCTTCACTATTTTTTGACAGGTTGACATTAACAGAATTTCACTATCATCATCTTTAACAGTATAACATAAACATTTATGTTATACTGTAAAAGATGATGATAGTGAAATTCTGTTAATGTCAACCTGTCAAAAAATAGTGAAGATGTGCTCAAGTCAACCTTGTTGGAGATCATAAGTGTAAAAGCTGTGTATAAGTCAACTTGTTAGAGATCGGGGTATTGAGAGAGGTGCGTAAATCACCTTGCCAGGGATCATTACTGCAAAAGGTGCCTTTGAAATAACTTATTAGAGATCATAATAGTGAAAGGAATGTGTAATCAACTTGTTGGAGACCTTGAGGGGTAAAAGGTGTGGTTTTATAAGTCATCCATTCAAAGATCATGGTGGTGTTTCTGGAAAGAACATGACCACATTTCAACAGTACCCTCTATTTCCATTTTTGTGCAGTGCAGCCGATTTCATTTTGCTTGAAAGTCCAGAACTTTCACATGAATTGTACACATTAATTTTTCTTTGTGCCTGTTTTTGGGTTTACCATAATGAATAAAGCTTCTGTAACAGAAAAAAAAATATGAAAATAAACTTGATATTTTGACAGTGGCATGCAGCATTTTAGTAAAAAATGGAGAGTTGGACAAATTTAGATGTTTTATTCTGTTTATTTAAATATCAACAATAGGATGGGGACTTGGGGCTTATGTATAACTTCACAAAAATTTAGTCATCCACTTAAAGTTTATAGTAATCATTCTTCCAGCACCATATTACATAAATTGGGCTATTTTTTGTCATTAGATATAAAAAATGGTGAAGTAGCATGTTATCTAAAACACAAAATGATATTATCATTGTTTGAAAGCTACAGTACCAGTGATTAATTGGATGTATGGTCTCTGAGAATCATAGTTATTGAGAAGAATGTTGTATATACCAGTTCTTTTGGGTTTGTCAGAATAGTTGTTGTATGCTTTGAGATTATAAGTTGTGAAATCTAGGTCATTTAAACAATGTGTCCTTAGCTCCTTCATCCTCTGAAAGTCTGGTCAGACTTGAAATATTCTGCTGTGTTTTTATGGTTCACACTTTACATGCACATACTGTATATGCTTCATATACTGTAATGAAATGTTGATAAAATTTGTACAACTGCTTACCCATTTATTAAAATACTGGTATATTCAAAATTTGTCATAAATATACAACTTCCATTCTTATATAGCTACAATACTGTACTGTATACTAAATTCATGAGAGAGAAATTGCTGTCATGTTTCATTCTACAATATTGTTCCTGTTTGCACTTAATAATTCTTTGCTCTTGATGATTTCATATACTGTATTTTATTTTGTTTTGTGCACAACTTATAATTTTTATACAGAGAATATCCATAAATATGTGTAAATGAAAATGATTTTGATATTTTATACTACAGTTTTAAAATATATTGTCACACTTGGCATTTGCCCAAACACTCACATTCTTTGACACTTATATATGCAGTCCTTATTTTGTAATTATTATATTTGAAACTGTTACTCATAATATCTCTAAAGCTTTTTTTTCACACTTGAATACAGTATTCTGCATACAGAGAATGGCATGTGCTAAATCCCAGTTTCATGAGTACATTATGTTCTATGTTAATATAAGGTAAGTACTGTAGAGCTGGAAATTATTTCTTGTTGATCTAGATGTACCAAGTTAGTGTAAAAGATGTTTAAGTACATAACCATAAACACTTACAAGTAGTTGTATTTACCATAATAAAATTTCATTGTAAGAACCAAATATACTTACTACAATACTGTACTGTATAGGTGCAAAGAAATTACTTCATGCCCATGAACATGTTATCTTCAAAAACTAAATACAGTACTCAAATGATACCTCAAGCCTACCAAAGGATGTCTGATATGATCTACAACATGTGTTATACAGGTTGTCAATCCCTTATCCGAAATCCTTGGGGCCAAAGGCATTTCGGATTTCGTAATTTTTCGGTTTTCAGAATGTTTTTTTTTTTTTTTTTTTTTATATACGTGAATTAGCCCCCCAGGCCCCGATGTGGGTCAGTGATCTATGCCCGGGTGGGCTAATACTTGTTTAAAAAGAAAAAAAAAAAGTTTTGCTCCACAAAAAGAAAAAAACCTTTCGGTTTTCGGAATTTCGGTTAAGCAGTTGTCAACCTGTAGTATTTGCTCTCATGAATACTAAGGATATAAAGATATATTTTAAAATAATTTTTATTTACCACTTAGATGTTCAAGAAAATGGTTAGGTTATGATGTCTAGGTAGGCTGATACAGTACTTTAACTTAGACATGTGATTACTCAGGCTTTGGCTTCTTAAGTATTTATTTTTTTTATGTGTAAATATACAAATCTTTTATCATTATTGATTGGGAAAGGTGATACATAAAATTATATTGATTTTATTTAACAAGGCTTTCATTTTCTAATTGTAAAATCTGTGGTTTGGTGAAGAATCCAGTAATTGAGAGTAGGTTTATTAAACACAGCATATATTTTCTCATGCTCTGAAAGAATGCTCTTCATCTAAATAACATTCTTGTAAATCATTTCAAGTTACTGCACTCATCATTGTATAGACATACATTTTAAAGATTTTATTGTTGCTTATAGATTATTCCTTTATAGAACATATATTTATGGACTTCATTGCATGTCAGAGGACTGTAAAAGCTAATTTCCTGGAATGTTGTATTATGAGTATTAAATTTAACATTTAATGGCAAGATTGTACACAAAATTTAGGAAAATTAGAACATGACAAAACACAGGAGGGGTTGGAGCTTATGGATTTAAGGAAGGGAGGTCCAAACATGGTTTATTGACCATATATGTAAGAGGTTAACAATAGGCAATCTATCCTCAGTGTGAGGATTTTATGGAATGCCATTTTGTTCATCAAAGGTTAACAAAATTGTCATAGCACGATACAGTCTGAAGACTAAAGGGAGTGACATTCTGTCCCTTAGAGAGGATAATGAGACGTGCTATGAGATTGATGAATATGAGGCATTTAGTCTTGCAAAGAGAAAAGTCAGTGTGCTTCTCTTTTTACCCAGTAGTTAAACAGCTTACCGTGTCATTCTTCCCACCAGTCACAGGGCTTAATATATGGCAATATACTCTGGAGGAGAGGCTAATTGTCACTGCTCCCCTCCAACCAGTTTCAGTAAGAGGTTTGCTAAGGTGCAGTATTGTCCCTTTTTGTGAGTAAAAAGGAAAAGTAGGTAAGTAATATTTTAAAAGTATAAAAGTACAAAGGTTATCAAATCATAAAATTTTCAGCAAAGGTAATCATATATTAGCAGAATAATCACAATTAATTGTACTGTATGATGTATCATGTTCCAGAGGATGTTAAGAAAAATTATTCACTGTTGTTATTTTACCTTGTTATTTATACCTTGAAAATGCTTTACATTGTAGCCCCAGTTTAATAGGTGTAAGGAATTGATTTCGCTCCATTGTGATGTTCACACTTGAATATCTTGAAAGCAGTAAATATTAAGTAAGAGAAAACTACTTAATTAAAAACTCAATGCACTATTGAGTATTATAACATCCAGGCTACGGTGGACATGCACACATACAGTATATGGAAGAACTAATTGACATAGTGTTCCTCTTATACATAAAATGTAATGGTTCATGATAGATATTAAATTCATTGAAGTATATTTACAGATTACCCTCTGCTGCTGCATCAGAAAGGAATTTTATTTAAGTTGCATAATAACATGTCCTAAAAAATGCTAAGTTCAGAAATATAACATGTAGTATATCCCTTTATCATTATTAGAACTTTGGTTGCAATTAGGTACAGTACTGAAAATCAGACCTAGAGAGAATATTACTGATGTGTCTTATAAAACTTTAGTCACAATTCATGATGAAATGTTATTATTTTGCTCATGTACTATACCATTGGAGAACAAATATGAAGACTTAGCAAAAATTGGATAATGTAAATGGAATTCCTTCAGTTTGTAAGGGTGAACCCTTCATAATTTTACTGGTCAGAAAATATGTAATCCCTAGTCATTAGATTGGCAGTCAAGAAGTCTAATTTATCTTGTATATCAATAAATTAGTTAGAAAATTATAATGGTTCTTCATTTTACCTGTTATTACCCTGACTGAAAATTGGCACAGGATGCGATGATGTCTCTCTGCCTGTTTGTTTTCTGTTTAAGTTTTCATAAATTCTTTCAATTGATATCAGTTTTGATGTGAATGTGTGAGAGAATTGTTCAATATGAAATGAGACAGACAGTCTAGGAAGAAATAGAAAATTCTTGGAAATAATATTTTATTTGATTCTTGAAATAACATCCCTTCCTTCCCACTGCTTGTCCCAGTCATAAAATACTAAAGAAATACCCGGTAGTCCTTTGATGGTATGTTCAACATACTGTACTTATCTGGTGTTATTAAGTTCTTTGTCAGATGGAAAATAGCTGTCTTAATGCCATTTTTTTTTTCAGAAAATAGAAAAGATACAGGGAATTAAGTCAAGTGAGTGGAGGAGATGGGCAATCACTTCAGTATTTTTTGGGGCAAACATCACGGATATGCTGTTTTAAAGAGCCGGGTTTATCAGTTATTCAATTCGAAGCAATGTTTTCACCACAGTTCTTTCAGCAGGTAGGAATGGTAATTTCCAATAACAGTATTTTCTGGGTATGCAGTAGTCATAAGTTCTTTTTTATATAAAAATATATATATCACCTTTGCATCATTGCAAAATACAGTACTTTTATCTTCCTGGGATGTGACCCCATGTGGGCTCCTTGTGTTAAAATTTTATTCCATTTAATACAACCCAATTTGAGATACAACTTGATTTTTTCATGATTATTGGTTCACATGGAGAGTTTCTGTACTGTTTCTTTGCTTCCAGCAGAATTTGATATTTGCCATTTGCTCAGTTTGTAATTCTGTATTGGGAAGACTTCAATGAACACATCACTACTGAGATTAAATGGGCAAATGAAACAACCATGTAACTCACTGAATCAGACAAAATCTTGTTTTCCCTTGTCCTTTTAAGTTTATTCTTGTTCACTAATGAGTTTATTGTCATGGACCCAATCATCCTACTTACTGATCTTCCTTCTTTTTATGGCAGGTTCTTGTTTGTCAGGGTGTTAACTGTGATACAGTACCATACTAAAGATTTTAGTGATAAATTTTTGGGGGCATTTGGCATTATTTTTTCTTTAAGGGTGTCTGTAATAGTGCTGAAAATAGATTCACATCTTAGGAAGTTGCATCACCAAACACCTTTTCTATATATAATCTCTTTCATTATCTACCATTACGGTATTTATTATCTCAACTACAGTACTTCCAGTTGTTTACATCTTTTTCATATCATATTCTCAGTTCACTTTCTACTTCCCACCCCACAGATGTGGACAGAAAATGGCATCAAATTTCAATAATCGATTCCAGGACTAGAACTCGTGACTTAGTGGTGAGAGATGTGTACATTGCCATTGTACCAGCAAAACCCCTATGAGTTAAACCCGTGACTTGGGGCTATGATTTATGAGCTGCCTTGTTCTGGAATCGGCCATAAAATTTGTTTTCAGGATCAATCTTTCATTTCTTATCCTGCAACAGTTGTGGGATGGAGGATCACACTCTTCTGGACATATCCCACAACTGTTGCAGTATATATTTCTTGTTGGCTCAGTTTAAATTTCCCATGCTTTGTTTTGCTGAATATTTTGTGGGGGCTTCTGACAACTGCCACTTACCTATCCTACCCTCCACAGTGCCTTCATATCAGTAAAGGGTAACAAAACTTAGTCTGATCAACATACATATATTTACATATTTTTATTAAGTAATTTTTATATATTGTATGTACTATGTGTATGAGTGTTTGGACATGTATGCATTTATGTAATGCAAGTACAGTATTTTGTTTGTACATGGGTGTGCACATATGCACATCTAATTATCTAATATTTTTTAATTTATAATATGTATCATTATAATTTCCCCAAAATATCATAATATATTTAAGACTACAGTACAGTACAGTACAGTAGTTTCAAAGCTTGTGGTACCCTGGTAACATACTATAACCCAGCTATATCCAAGTTACGCACTTATTCTGAATATTTCTCACACAGGAGTTAATTAAACTGACCAAAATCAAGAGTAAAGTAAATAAGTTTGCTTATGTTTATCAGCATCTTCAGGTACAGGTATCCTGCTATTGTTCTGCCACTATTACATTAATATTTTGACAATATACCACTAAAAGACACAATTGCTCTTAAGTAATATTAATGAATGGTAATGTTCAGAGCAATCTAAATCTTACAAGCCAGCAGTACATGTCTCAATAGGATATGGGTGACAAAACACATCAATGGGATAGGAGTGAATTATAATATGACAGCTGAACACTCTTCTGTCAAGATGTGTTTGTGACTAAAACATCAACACGGATTATTGTATATAACTACAGTATCTATCTTTACACTCTTCTAGACCTTTGACAATACTGTTTGTGTTTCTGTTGATTTTATATTTTTTTTGGGTGTACCCTGTATGTCTCAGAAGATGACAGGATGTAATGGAAGTGGTTTACTGCAGTACAAATTATTGGCATTAAAGTTAGGACACAGTCAGTGCCTCTTGGTCCCTTAAAGAAAACAAAAATGGAATACAGTACAGTACTCACTCCTACACTGACAGAAAGGAATTTATAGTTCTTTTTTTTTCCTCACTATGTATCTTGATAATTACCCTATGTGGTGTGTGCAAAAATGGCGAAGGTTGAGTAATGGATCTTGGTACAAAGAATAAACAAATGTGGATTACTATACAAACTCCACTAAGTCAAAGGCCTGTTACTTTCTAATTCCTGCTGAGGAAAGTTCAATCTGACCCTTGAGTCTTATGTTATATGTTATAAGTATGATCATATAACAAAAGGACTACCGTATTATCAGCTACACGATAAAATGATAAAGTTTTACTTTATTGTCAATTATAGTGACATTATTTCTGCTTTTACTACCATACAATGTATTATAGTGGAGTACTAATGTCTTGCTTTATGATAAAAAGATTAGAGTTGTCAGCAAGTATTCATATTCTTGGTCCACATCACTCACCCTGTATGGCTAGATGCTGTTCTGCTAAACTCTTAGTTGGCTACTGCTAGGTGTTGCTCTCCTGGTAAACACTTAAGCTGGCTACTGCTAGGTGTTGTCCTCATGGTAAACTCTTAGTTGGATGCTGATACATGATGCTTTTCTGATAAACTCTTAGCTGGATAATGCTAAGTGACATTGCCTGGGTAAATTCTAGGTTTGTTGGTAATTGCATCTGTCATGGCTCTGCAGTAATGAAACGCCTCCCATTTTTCTGCTGATCGACTGCTGGATTTATGCCCATATCTGGTAATACAAATAATTGTAAATAAGTTTTATTTAAGAATATAAAACCTGTATGGCAAAAATATGGCCATGAGTTCACTCGGTGTTTTCATTCATGTTTGCGGTAATCTACAACTAAGATACTGGGATCCTCTCGCATCTAAAAGTCTTTATTACTACAGGTAGTAAGATTTTTGGTTTGAAAATATAGTGAGTTTGGCACCCATAACAAAATTTAAGACAGAGTTTTAGTATGTTGAGTGTTAAGTTGGACAGTGTCATCTTGAATATAAAGATTATCAGTATTAATACAAGTATGAAGATGTACCGTATTACAGTGAATAAGAAGCTGGATATAATTACCCTGAGTGTGAAGTCCCAGGATCCTGTAGATATGGAGGTACCATCTGGGGACATCTTAAGGCAGGAGACTCTGTTCTCATGTCCATAAAGGATGGTCAAACGATGGCATTTTAGAGTGTCCCAAACATTGACAGTATAGTCATTGTAGCCCGCAAACAGTAGCCGTCCTGTATTGTAAATAAAACACATAAGTATATTACATTTAAACATAAGCATTAAACTTTATTACCTTATATATGAATAATTTATTAAAGCGTCAACACAACACACAATTCGTACACATATCATGCTCACATTATACCTTAACATAACACTAAAACAAAATTACGTAAAAATATTAACATAACATACGAAAATTTGGTGTACAGGTACCTTACTGCCCCTCATGTCACTGTTGATGTATTGTTTCTCACTGCCACTTCCTCTTATGATTGACAGCCATTATACTATCCCTCACCTCCCCTCAAAATCATTTGCTGATACGTCTCATTCCACTTACCGGGAGTCAAAATGCCTTACAGTTTGCTATTGATATACCTGCACTGTCTAGGTATACAGCATTGTCATTTACAACAAACTCCATTATTAATACAGTAACACACTCAAAAGAATAATAAAAAGTAACAAAATAAACATATAGATGCACAATTCAGCTCAGCCATCCATTTATCCTTACTCCTCCTAACTTTGTGGCCAAGCACTAACATATGCATTTCAAACTTTGCCATAAATAATGAGTTATTAATTATTGGTAATTTAAAAAGGGGGAAAGCCTTAAAAAAATTATTTTTACTCACCACTGACAGAGAAGTCAACAGAATTTACACCAAAAATGATGCTCTCTTTGGTGTAGACAGCAATCTCTCGATCAGCACGCAGGTCAAACAGTCGACACTGTCAATAGGAAACAACTTTGTAGTGGAGTTAACAGGACATAAGATATAGTAAAGAGATGGATGTTCGTGCTGGCACTCTCACTTTCTTTGATGCAACACAAATATATGTCTACTTGTAGTTTATTTGTCCATGCAACGTATTCAAACATATACGAGTATGTACTGTAGTTTACTCATACAAGTAGCTTGTTCATACATGTAGCAAGTTATGCAAATATAGTGTATAGCTTCTTCGTAAAATTACAGGTAAAATATTTGTATACACACAGTAATTTGTTTACACAGTACTGTATATCTACACTTCAGGTATACAGTACTGTAGTGTAGTCACACACAGCTCATCTGAAATTATTCACAAGGTGACAAGTGTACTTACTGTTGCATCATCAGAGCCTGTGGCAATAGCATCTCCCGAAGGGTAGAACTTGACTGTATTGATATCTGATTCATGGCCCTCAAAATTCTGCACACACTGGCCTGTACGCATGTCCCAGATCAGGGCCATCTTGTCACACCCCTGATGACATCAAGAATAATTTATACAGTAGGCTATTCATCACATTCGCATACTTTACATGTATGTTTTTGCACTCCTGGAAGCAATTAAAACACATTAAAGGCTCCTTGTAACACTGTTGGCCACTATCAAGAAGAGCTAGAGGAGCAACTATTGTACAGGTACCTGTACTTCAATAATAATAATCACAATAATAATTTGAATAAAGAAGATTACGAGGACGTAAGAGTAGTGGTGATGGTACTGACACCAGAGACGAAGGTGTTGCCAGTCTCTGATGGGGCCAGGTCAAGGGCCATCACATCACCCTGGTGGCCATGGAAGCTCTGAAGCATCATCCCTGACTCCACATCCCATAATGCACAAGTTGAGTCCCCAGAACCAGTCAGGATCTGTGGGTCACAAAATGCCATGGATACAATATTTGAATCTCCATTCCCTCTACCCAATAATGAGATTAAATTTGAGTTAATACAGTACTGTCAGTTATCTTCCCAATAGCCAGAATCCCCGATCCCCGAAACTCTATAATAGCCGGAAAGGATTTTGAGCTTTCTGGGAAAACAATCTCCACTCCGAGAATGGGAACAATTTTACAACTTGAAAATACGTAAATTGACAAAATTTTGGTACAACTGAGGCGGTCGTTTGTCCGGGTGGTCGTAAGTCGAGGAGTAGCTGTACATTATTGTATGTTTACAGTGGTGTTTGCATAAATAAATACATCTCTGTCTGTCTGTGGGAGATGCATAATTTAGACTCTTGAAAAAATTCCTCCAGCACCTGGAAACATTCCGGGGATGTGCAGTAGTGTCTGTCCATGCAAGATGCTTAGTTAAACTCAGAAAATTTACCCCAGTACCTCGAAAAATTCTGGGGATGTGCGATATATTACGGGTATGAGAACTGAATTTTGTTTCAGTTCCTTGAAGAGCTCTGCACTAATTATTGCAGCTAATGAGGATATCACTGTACAGTACTGTATTTACTATCAGTTAAAACTAGATCTAAAAAAAGTACTAAATGTTCCACTTTACTTGCAAATCTGAAAAAAAAAACAATTTAAAAGGTTTCTCCCTGACTCACCAATTGGCATTGGGAAAAATGCAACAAGGGAGATCCTGATTCATCAGCTGTTCATCAAGAAAGGGTTTGACTCACCTCTTGGTCAAATCAGAAAGGGTTCAAGAAGATAGAACTTACCTGCTGATCAGAATAGGGGAAGGTGCAGCAGGACATGTAGGAGGTGTGGGTTCCGACAGCCTTCTTCTTCTGAGTGACATCTTCATCGAAACTGAGAGGATACACTGTCACCTTGTTGTCGAGGCCCCTGGTGACCCAATTGAAAATAGGGAGGTAAGTTGATGTTGCAAGACTACTTGTCTTCTTTTATTCACCTCTGGGAGTTATTTATAAACACAGTAATTACTTCTTAGATCCAATATACCTTCCTCGTATAGCGTACATACAATGTAAGCCTTCTGCAAGTGTAGACAGTTTAGTTGCTTCTTAAATAAGTTGATAGAATTTGCTTTGAAAATTAAAATTTTCTTGAGCCTTCCTGTATATCTTACCCCATCCTTTCCACAAGTTTCCCTGTTGCTGAGTGCAAACAACTAGTGGCTGGTTAATTTACACTAGGCAAACCATGCCATCATTACTACTTTTACTTTTATTACTTTTATCCTCTTCGCCACTGATTAGCTCGTTTAGCCGCTTGGGCGGTCAGTCACGTCTCTGTTACGCACCGTTGCCAAGTAATGTACTGGGCATATCCACGCAAGGATGGAAAATAGCCATAAAATGGTGATAACGATGATGAAACCAACTTATAATAACGTCTTCAAAATCTGTTATTTATTGCTAAAAAAAATTTTATATTCAAAATGTAGAGGTTGGGGTAATATTACATAAGGCTAAGCTGTCAGGAAAAGGGAGCTCTTACTGTGAACAAACACCATTAATGTAAAGGTAACTCAAGGATGGTGATAACTTTTCTTATATTGAATTTTATAACATCTTGCATGTTACCATATTACACCCTTTAAAGCCTTTTCCCACTATGTATAATGCAGGGTGGCTAAAATCAAAAGGAAACTAACGCTACCATCCTTTGATGTCATTCGTTCACTCTTAACTGCTGAAACAGATGTGTTCTGCGATGATGTTCATCGTACTGTATACAGTATTGTACTGTACGAGGTTAGTGCATATTGTATATTCTCTCAATCCATCATATGCTATTACTGTGTTGAGTCTTCTTGGATTAATTCTACTCATTACAAATTTACTAAAGACAACATTGTTAGTAAATGTTTGTAAACTTTCACTGTTCTCCTAAATACTGAAATACATGTATATATTATTGTACTTTATATATGAACAATGGTGAGTACTGTACTGTGAGAAAGAAAAATTTTTATTTCTTAATTTTTAATTTATCATTAACACCGGTTATCAGCTTACTAGCCATTCAGGTGGTCGGTCCGTTCTTCGGTGTTAATTCAGGGAGAAACCGGAGTACCAGGGGGAACACCTGTACAGTTTGGTAAGGTCGCTGAATAACGCCCTTATCACATTCAACCAGGGAATTGAACATGTGGTGCAGTGAAAGGTAAGCACACTACCATCATGTTTGTTTGATGATTACAATGAGGTAAAAAAAAAGTTGGGTGAGAGAAAGATTTGTTCAAAATGAGGTATAGGTATGTAGTTGTGAACCAGGAATTGGATCAGTACCCGCAGGCGACCATGGAACCGGTGGGGGAGTAAGCGCAAGCCATGACCCAGGTGGTGGGCATGGTGACAGCATGTTCCTTGTTGGTGGTGAAGGCATCCCAGATGATCATCTTCCCATCCTGCAACAAACACATCCTTTCATCATCTGCTGCACAAACAACAAAATACTTCATTAACGGTTTCACAAACACAACACCTCATTACTTGCTGTACAAACACAACACCTAATTAACTGCTACACAAACAAACCCTCATTAACCATTACACAAACACAACACCTCATTAAATGTTACACAAACACAGTATGTCATTAACTTAAACACACACAGTATCTCATTAACTTTTACACGCACACACTGATAAGCCAACACTCCTATTTAGTCATTGTGACACATAACTCCAAACCTAACCTACAAATATGATGTAATCCTGAACAGTTATTATATGATTACAATGGCTATGTCACACTAAATTCCCTGCACACCTGGTTCTGTTATTTTAGTACAGGTATAAAAAAAAATGATAATTTGATATTACAATTCCTGCCTATACAGTATAAGCTTTTTGGTGTTTCAACTGCAGGAGTCATTAAGAAGTCATGTCACTTGTTCAAAGTTGGCACGATAATATTTAACCTCTTAACCTAATGGCTACCCAAATTAGAAGTGGCCATGCTGAGGGAAGAAGGCCAGTACAATCCTTCTATTGGTCTTGACAGTCTTGAGACAGTTTGACCTGGTACACTGTTCCATAGGTATACCACTCTCTGTGTGAAGAAGTATTTCCTTATTTTTGTCCTGAATGGCATATTGGCAAACTCGAAGTTGTGTTCCTTCATGTTGATGGAGGAATATATAATGTAAGTTACTGGGACTAGCCTTATATAGTTCTGTGAAAAAGTGCTTCACTGGTACGAAATTCAGCAATAGGTAGGGAGATTCTCTCTCTCTTTCATATGAGTAACACTCACCTGGGAGGAGGACACGAGGTGGCGCTTGTCGTTGCACCAGTCGGAACAAAGTACCTTGCCCTGGTGGCCCTTCAGCACACGTCGAGGCTTTATGTTGAGTTGCTGCAGGTTCTCCAGCCGCGCTGCCACTGTCGTCACTGTGGGCGAAGCTTTCCTGTTAATCTAAAGTGATCAGATAGATGGATAGCAGTAATATAGTCGAGACCACTAAGAGTGAGTACGAAGCCTTGAGACCTTCCTTCTGAGACAGAGGTTCCTAGAAGTCAAAACCAAGGATGAGATAGAGGTCAATCGCAAATTTATCATTTATTTATTAGCCTGTGCATTCATCGAGATTTTAAGATAAATCTTAGTGAAAAAAATTGAGTCTCGGTTTGTACAAGTAATTTATTTTGATCCTCAGCAGATTAGATACCCAAATGCTACCTTGGGGAGTTACTGTAGGTTTGTTCATGTTATATTTGTTTGCTTAGCATTGAAATGTTTAATTATCACATGAAATAAGGTGGGGAGTCTAATCTTCAGGTGTTTCATAATATTTTAGTGGTTGAAATCTACAGAGGATGGAAATATTTATCAACTAATACAGCATGGGCAAATGTGTACCAGCTACCAAATGATTGTATTTTTATTTTCAGTTTCATGATACGAGTAATGACATCTTTGTCTGGGGGCTCAGGGGCTTGTTTGTGTGGTGTGACATGGTCAGGTCATCAGAGACCGACGCAACATGCCTATCTAACCTGTCAGAGTTATCAGCACTGATACAACAACATAGTATCATAGGCCAGGTCAGGGTCAGTCCTTGGGGGGGGGGTGTGCAGTAGTGGAAGGCACCCAGGCCACCAGTAGAGGTTTGTCCAGGGCCCCATAAGTGTTAAAAGTGGCGTTGGGTAATAAAGTATACTGAATCACAAATTCAGCGTGAGTCAATAATCATGTGCGGTCACATAAATTATACATGGAGTCAGACACCTAGGTCACCTTGCATAAAAAAAAGAAAAAAAGAAAAAAGACTGACTTACATGATGGTCAACATTTCCTAGACTCAGGTAGTGACCTGTGGTGAGGTAACTCCCCCTACCTGAACCTAAACCTAAGCAGTTCAACAATCCCTTCCAACACACCTGAATATTAATGAATAAATTATTGGTCTCGGGCAAAAAATCGAGACCAAAGATGTACCGAAACTGAGACCTGAGCAGCCGAGACCAAAATTAAGAATATATATGTGTGTGTGTGTGTGTGTGTGTGTGCTGATAACCACAAGCATATACCTGGATCACGCGCAACTACAGTGATTTACTTGCATATATACTGTATATATATATATTTTTTCACAATCATCAATATATTGCTACTCTAATGCACTCAACCAAATTTAACATTGAAGTGCAGTAAACATCCAATGTAGCTGTCCTAAAAAAGCCTGGGAGAGGTCCCCTCGAGAGGAATGTCCTAGGGATTTAATTTACATGAACACAACTGTGCAGTTTAAGTGTTTCAAGGTGAACCAACAGTGCTGCTCGACTTTCAATCTTGTTAAATGTGTGTTGATTAAGTGAGACCTAGCGCTTAATATCATTATCTGTTTCCTGATTAATAAGCACAATGAAAATATTGCAAAATTGAGACCATCAGAATACATGTACAGTTAAAACAACTGCATCCATCAGGCGGTACAAGGCCTGTCAATATATACACAGTTTAAAGACTGGTAGTAAGCTGTTATATACTATATGTGACAACCGGGGAACCGGTTTATACTTGACTAGCTGTGACGCCACTGGTGTTTACTGCGCCAGCTGGGTACAAGTAAACACACTTCTCGACTTATGCTCTTTAAACCGTATTATTTCATTTATTCGTTGACTTTTTGTATAATTCTTTATGGTTGTGTATGTTCGTCTGTACCAATATAAACATATCTATATGTTCACTGTACGATCAGAATTAAGAAACACACATTTTCCCTTTAGTTACCGTCATTCTGTCCATGGTATGAAGTTGGTTTACCTCACCATCCTATACGGTGCACGGACAAAAACTCACTGGTTAGAGTTCAGTTAGGCGAGTTTTTGTTTGGGAAGCTTTGTCCTATCTTCTGGTGAAATGATGGTAGGATAGGGTGGTGATAGATTAAGGTGATGACAAGCTAGGGTGACGGCGGGCTAGGGTGATGACAGGCTAGGGTGGCGGCGAGCTAGGGTGACGGCGGGCTTGGGTGATGACAGGCTCGGGTGATGACAGGTTAGGGTGACGGCGGGCTAGGGTGATGGCAGCCGAGGGTGATGCCAGGCTTAGGTGATGGCAGGCTAGGGTGATGACAAGGTAGGGTGATGAGATTTAGGTGATGACAGGCTAGGGTGATGACAGCCTAGGGTGATGGCAGGCTAGGATGATGACAGGGTACGGTGATGGCAGGCTAGGGTGATGACAGGTTAGGGTGATGACAGGTAGGGTGATGACAGGGTAAGGTGGTGGCAGGCTAGAGTAATGACAGGGTAAGGTGACGGCAGGCTAGGGTGATGATGGTACGGGTGATGGCAGGCTAGGCTGATGATGGTACGGTGATGGCAGGCTTGGGTGATGACAGGGTGGTGATGGCAGGCTAGGGTGATGGTACGGTGATGGCAGGCTAGGGTGATGATGGTACGGTGATGGCAGGCTAGGGTGATGACAGGGTAAGGTGATGGCAGGCTAGGGTGAGGGCCACCTAGAGCTGACTAGGTAGTTCCACACCACTGCTTAGCACCACCACACCCTGGGGCTCATTAGTGACAATTGATTATGAATGGGCCCCCCCATCCCCTCACCCCCTTTGCTCTCAGCTTCTTAACACATTGAGAGAGAGGAGAAGGAAAAGGGATTAAGAGATAGATAATGGAATGGGGGAGGGTGTCCTGGTAATTTCATACCTTTCAAAATTTATTTAACTCACATTTCATTTAGTACATACAACTTTTACCCTCACTCCCTGAAAAACGCTTAACCCTTCATATTCTCCCATTGGGTTGTGTGTGTTTGGTTTCTTGTGTTATCTTTTATGCTGGGTTGATAAATGCTCACACCCCACTTGCCCTCTCTCTATAAAAAATATCCCAGATCCTTCACTGTTCCACCCCCCATGGTGGTAATACTCACGTGGGACATCGTTGAGTTTCTGCCGCTCTTCCTCCAACTTCACCTTAAGTCCTTCAGCTTCCCTGGACAGTGCCTCCACACTCTCCATGGGTTGCTCCACCTTCAGCCCTCCGTCAGTCATGGTTCCGCTGGTGTCACGACCCACGATCCCCGTCCAAATACTACCTCCACTTGGTGGGTCTTCTGCTTAGTGAGTCCTGGCCGGCGTGAGAAGGTAGTTCAACGCAAGGTGATGAGACTGCGGGTGAGGCTGGGGGGTGCGGGGGTGGCCGCACTAGGCTTCAGGGTACCGAGGCTCTAGCAACGCACATACCTTTAGGCTGATTTCCTCATGTTATACCTGTAAAGAAGTATTTTATTTTCAGGTTTTTATTGAATTTTCTTTAATGAAATTAACTATATGTGTATCAATCTATATTCTTTATTCCCCTCACACTCTTTGTTTGGGATCGATAAGGGGGTACAGAAATTCCGGACAATATAAAATAATACGAGAAAGTGATGCCCCCATACTGATAACAGTACCTCCCAACACATCACTGTCTCTATAATAATAATTATAACTTCACGAACACACTTATCGCTCCGCTTCCTGTAATGTGGAGTAGTAACCTCTTACATCTCACCGTTACATGGACGAAGATGGTGTAAAAAAAACTCCAAACCCTATTATACACACCAGTGCCCTGAATATCTTCCCCACACTGCACACCACCTGTGTTTATACCCACTACACTGAACACTATCAATGCACACTTTACCAGAGTACACAGCAACTTTTACATTGCGATATTACCCTACAGGGCTTACACCTTAATCATCATCACACTACAGTCTACAGCGTACAGAGAACTACACTACAACTCATATCATTACACTAGTTCACCACAATGTACACACAACCATAAGACACCCCAGAACATAAAGTTATCGCGAAACACCAGGTTTATGTTTACTAATGGTGAGAGAGATAGAGGGCGTGGTTAGACGTTAGGACATATTATCTACTGCGTTTCCTGTCACCAGTCGTCTCCTGCCACTGGCTCCTCCGTCCCGTCAGTGTGTGTGTTTTGTTATCTTTAGTTTGATGATGATGAGATGGAGAGAAGAGAGCCGTTTGCTCTGAAGATGGAAGACGGTGTAGGAGGAAGGTAAAGTTAGGAAGTGGAAAGTAAAGTAGGAGATTTGATAGCAGGTGAGCTATCCACCTTTAGTATGATGATAGTGTACCAGCATATTATATGTTGTGTATCATAACCTAACTTGATTAATTAATTTACCTTCTGTCAGGAAGTTGGAATACGATAAGTTACTCTTATCCTAAACTTAAATTGCTCTGGTGACGTTGTTAATCTTATATAAACGTTTCTATGAGAAAAAATCGGTAGCGAAAAAAAAAAGAATTACAGTAATGTACATTGATTTTTATGCCACTTTTCCACATATCAAAAACAATCATTGTTTGGTCCACTGTATTGTTCCATTTTGAAAGATGCACGTTGGGTTCAAGACAAATATGACATGAGTTTATAAGATGCTTCATGTCATGTACTGCACATGTACTCCGTAACTCCGACACAGCTACTAGAGCGTGACCAAATTCTTATTATAGTCTTTGAGCTTGACAAAGGATTGACGTAGGATGAATGTGGAAACTGAATATGTAACGTTTTCATGCTTCTATAAATATATAGTGGTATTTTTTTACTGATGGGTGGTTCAGTGGTCATTATAATGCATATTTGGTTAATGTTGATGTGTTAGCTGCTACGTCGTTAGGTTAGGGACGTGGTGCGCTCATACCTACTTAAGATTACGGCAGTCTAAAGCTGTGTGTGACCAGTCCAGTCACTACTATCACACTTTGGAGTAGTAGCTTGCTGTATTGCTAATAATACTCTCCCTCCATGTGTGTCTTCAAGTATTGTGGTTTAGTACCTGAAGAGAACAGAATTGCGTCTAGTGGTATTTCTCTTTTTTACATTTTCCCACTATAATGCATGTTGTTGGGAATCAAGACTAAAGATACATACATTCCTTTTATTTGCTGTTATTCAGTTATTCTTATTACTGTAACACTGTTGCGGTTATACCGATAATTAAGGAACATTGAGAGCCCAATGTAATTTTTTTAGCTCTTCGCCATGAACACTTCCAAGAAAATACGATTACAGTTACAAAATAAAAGTACGGAGTACGATTTCATTTACTGGAAAGAGAGAGAGACATTGAATCCCTGCAAAGATAACGTTTCATCCTACAGCGATGGAAGGAAACGTGATATTGTTATCTTTTCACTATACTTCAGAACTTCCAATCGTAAAAAAGAAGCTAAAAGGAAATAGTCATGTTATAATGCATTTCATTTCTTTATAAATAAATTCATCTTTCTAGTTGACAATACACTCGATTTATTACAATATTCTCGTTATATTACAATACGTTCGGTATAATATAATAATCGGTATATTGCAATACACTCGGTATATTACTGTACTCGGTATATTACAATACACTCGGTAAATTATGATACGCACGGTATATTACGATACACTTGAGATATTAAATAATGATCACTATAATTTTAAATTTTACTATTGTGTCCTTAACGATGAATTATTTTTTAAAGCGTTTTGATACATAGTATAGTACCGTACGTACAGTATATCTGGTAACGAATTTAGGAAAAAATTACTAAATTTACGTTAGAAGCAGCAAGTAGGAGTTTATTAAGGCACGCTTTGGCTATTAGAAATACAACTATCACTGAATTATGATACGAGCAAGAATGAACTACTAAACTATTGAACCAACGAGCATTGGTTCATTCCGGCTAAAATCTTAACTGCTACGTGATACTGTGACCGTAGCACCAGAGTAAAAGCAATGACCAACTTGCACTCAGCTTAATTCAATTAAAATTCACCTTTCCCTGTCCCGCCATCATATTTACATTCCTAGTATCATAACAAAGATTTTCTTCAAAATCCAAGGAAACAAGTAATTATAAAGAGCACGGGGGGAAACTTCAAAACTACCATAATTAGTGGCTAATTAATAACACTCGGGGATTAATTCTGCAATCGTTGTTTGCATGAAAGGAATGTCACTCATTTTTTTTCTCATTTAAAAGTTAATAACTGTTCAGATACATCTTAAAGTAAATAAAACGGCTCTTGTTCATGTCGCCGTGGAGTCTACAGTCAATGCTATTTTCAAAAAGCTGGTGAAGATTTGCATGTAATCTCTCATACCATGCAGTTATCGGTCAAAAAACCATTAAAAAATATGAAAAAATATGCATATCATATATTGCATCTTGGTTTCACCTATTGATTATTACTGTATGGAAGTATGTGTGTGTCTTATAGTAATGGACACAATGTGACTCGCACCACAACATAACGCATCGCAAAAGGAAGGAATTAACGATCATGAAAACATACAATGTAAGATGAATCAAATTAAATTTAACACATTCCTATGTCTCAGCTTGATGGATCCTTACAGTAGTGACAGTGTGTGCATCAGTGTGTCAGTATTCAAGCAAACGCACATCTTACAGTGGGGGAATTTATCCTCACAGTGGGTGGGTGATGCACCTGTACCTCACCCCTGGCATGACAGATTTGGGAGTTTGTTTGGGTTTCTGCAGAGGCTTGGTGGCCTTCTTGCTTTGGCCTCTCCGTATTAAATCACAGCCAATGAATATTAGCTTTAACTGATTTATTTTTCACTCGCTCCGGTGCTGTTATTTACTCACAGATGTTATACAGGGGTGCGAGGTGCCGTCAGTGGGTAGCAGGGATCATGGGTAACGGCGGTGAGCTGTAAGGCGTATGGTGAGGGGAGGCGCGCGGTACTGTCTTCCACTGCGCCAGGCGGGGCCTCTCACTGCCCAGGCGGCGCAGATCAATTCTCAGCGGCGCGCTGCCAACGCCTCGGCTCCCCAGCTGCCTCCCAACCTGCCCCTGCCCCAGGGCTCCCTCCCAGCTCACTTTCTGCATGAACGACTTGCCCCATTTTGCCCCCTGAACCACTTTCCCCCAATTTGTCCTCTGAACCATTTGCCCTCTGAACCAGTTGTCCCCAGCCTACAGCATGAACCACCTGCCCCTCAGCCTGTCCCTTGTTTCAGCTGCCTTCAGCCTGCCCCTGCACCAGCTGTTCCCCAGCCAGCCCCTTGCACCAGCTGCCCTCAGCTTACTCCTACACCAGCTGTCCTGAACTTACTCCTTCACCAGCTGTCCTCAGCTTGCTCCTGCGTCATCTGCACCAAGCACCCTAAATTACCAACCCCCTGCCTCAACCAATATTGTTGGCATCACACCACCTATTCCATCACAGGCAACATTTTCGATATTATCACTGGTCCATGTTCAACTTATAGCCTTCCTCACCCCATGCCTAACTGTTAATATTGTCACTGGTCTTTGAGAACCCCCTCATAACTTGTTTCTCTGCAGGGTCCAGCTCGTAATAGCTTAGATTAATTTATTCAACATTGTTGGATGTCCAGATCATCGATATGAACCTCCGTCGGTTTTACTTCCATACTGAATTTTTTCCTGCTGAGCATCTCTTTAAAGTCGTCCGTCAGAGACTAAACACTCAGAGTCACGAAACGCCCTGACATATCTGAACCTGTCAATATGTTCTTTATTGTATCATTTTATTCATGTATCATCGTTTTGAGTTTGCTCTCTTTCGCTTCTCTTCATTCACCTTATCTCCCCTGATTTTATATTCACGCTGTCTTCATCACTACATCGTCTTATCTTCGTTTTTTTCATTTTCTTTATTATATCCTTTCAGTGACTTTATCAGTATTAATCATGTTTTCATTGGTTTTCATGATCTGTGTCTTACCATCATTTCTTCCATTACCGGATTTTCATCTGAAGACCATTAAAGCTTTGCAATAATGCATTTAAACTGCCTCGTCTCGTGAGCGGAGATTGACTTTTAATAATAAGGTCAACCCGATCCTTGTTGTGGTCCTGTGTAAGCTTCCCTTGTGTTAACATGTAAAACCAAATTGATGTACAAAAATGTAACATGTGATTTATCTTCTTATTATGTTGTATGTTGATAATGTAAGAATCTCATATATATTTTTTATGTGTACCTGACTGTTAATTTCATGAATTTATTTACTCGTGTCTGTATTCTTTTATTATTACTCATTTGATGTGAACAGATTTTTTCTATGTATGTGAAATTATTTGACATGTATGTATTGTTTTGAAGATTATGTGATCACTGTAAATGTTTTATTAATTATATCGCGTAATATGATTCTTTGGGGAAGGAAAAGCTTTGTACTGATCAGAGTCATACTTGTTAGCTCACGTAAAATCAAACGAATCATAAAAGTGCAGCTATAACTTTTTATTGAGTCACCCATCTGAGGCGTCCGTTTTCTCTCGCGTGTTACAGAGCTAATATCTCTTAGTATCTCATGTCATTTTTTTTTATCTTCTTCACCACTGATTGGCTCGTTAGCCGCTTGGGTGATCGGTCACGTCTCTGATTACTTTTCCTTTTCTTTTATCCGCCTCACCAAATGATCGGCTCGTTAGCCGCTTGGGCGATCTGTCACGTCTTTGTTACGCACTGTTGGCAAGTACTGGGCACGCACTGGCTCCTGAATGTACCCGAACCTGCTCCAGTGTTGGTCAAATCTTGTCTTGAAAGAGCTCACACTCGGTGCCGTCACAGCACTTTCTGGTAGAATGTTCCAAGAGTTTACAACCCTCACTCCGAAAAAGTTTGCCCTCACAGTTTTCTGGACTTGCGGCTTCTTCAATCTTGAGCTGTGACCCCTTGTGGGGCGAGCGTCCATCAGCTCCAAGTAAGGACACTCAACTGAGTAGTGCCCCCTGAGATGCTTATACACCTCAATTAGGTCACCCCTTGCCTGTCTCTAGTATAAGCTAGGCAAGCTCAGGCGCTCCAATGTCTCAGGGGAGCTGAGGTGCCGAAGTGCAGGCACCAGTCTGGTGGGGGTCCGACTAATTACCCAAATGTACCCAAATGTAGCCAAATATAGCCGGAATGAAGTCAAATAATGGTCCTACATGAATAAATCGGACTGCCAATCACTTCTCGATTATTATTTGGTGTCACGAAGTCACAAAAAATTGGTAAACTTAATTTAATCTGAGTTGTGTTAGGTTAGGTTAGGTTAGGTACATGCACTCGATCTATTAACTCAGATTAAATTAAGTTTTCCAATTTTTTGTGACTTTCTGACACCAAATACTAGTCGAGAAGTGATTGGCAGTCTGATTTATTCATGTAGGACCATTATTTGACTTCATTGCGGCTACATTTGGGTACATTTGGGTAATTAGTCGGACCGCTTAGCATATCTCGGGGACCAGACGGGGTGACAGTACTCCAGATGGGGAAGCACTTCACATCTAAAGAAGACTTAAGTTGAGTTGTGGATTGTTAATCATTCAAAATTCCCTCCTATAAACATTGACATAGAGCAGTGTGACGTAATACCTAGTGCCAGATGTTGAAGACTTGAGAATCACGTATGTGGTAGAATAATCGTAAATTATGATAGATTACCTACAAATGAATATGAAGGAAAATGAATATGAAGGAAAATGTCATCAAAGTGTCCTGTGAGAGGCGAGAAAAATGACGTCAGGCACACTTGGCACCCCACCCCCCCCTTCAAGCAGACGACATCATCTGTGGCACAAGTAAAGGGAACCTCCTCCCTCGACCTGAAAAGTGTTCATTGTTAAGTTTTCTCTTGTATATCCCAGCCAAAATGAAGTCTATTGGTAATTTAGTATTCCTAGGCCTTGTAGGTCTATGTTTAGGTGAGTAAGATATACTGTGGTGGTTCAAATAGCTGAGTAGAGAAGTAGCGAGTGTCATTAGCTCGGCCTAGCAATGAGTGCACTAGAATCAATATTTCTTGTTACATTTGTTGCTTGCTGGACGTCGTAGTTTAGCTATGGTTACAATATGTCTTTCTATGCTGATTTTGTAGTTTCTTTTATATTTAACCATATATATCTTACATGCATGTGAAATACCAAATGTCAATTATTTCGCAATACAGTAGAATGATGTAATTGTTAGAAACTTTGCTACTAGCCATGACATATTGTTGTACAGTACTAGCAAATCTTATTTTTGGTAAATATTTACAAGTTGCCATGCACGGAAATTGCTAGAAAAAATAAGTTTGGTAATGTATTTTAAAAGAGGTGACATTTACTAAAACCTAATAGAACCTGACCTAACCAACTTGAGAAACCTACCTAACCCTACCTAACTTCCTAACCAGGGGGCTCCAAAGCCCCTGAACCCCCAGCCATATTAAACAGAAAGTACTTACTGTATTTTGATATATAGTACCAATAAAAGCAATTTTGTTGAAGCATCATGCTGTAATTTTATTTGTTTTGTGGACATGAGAGTACGCCTGGACCGAGCGGGTTGGTTGTAAACAAACGGCAGAAAACAACACGCGGTGACTGCAGATTTTTTGGTTGCTTATTTACGGTAAATAATTAATTTCTTCATGTAGGAAGCACGTAGGAACATCATTTTAGGGAAGTGGTTCCCAAACCTTTGAACGTGACGCCTTCTTTTGCTTTTTGCGAAGTCCTCACGCCCCCCCCCACTCCCCTTATATTTTTGTATGTGAAATCCACTTAGATTTTATTTGTTATTATAATTATATTTTAGTATTGTTGAGGATCAGATAACTCCTTGTGAAAGATATGAGTAGTGTGAGAGTCAGTATGGTATCCATGACATGTACAAGATGCGTAAGGAGAGAGAGATGAAATGATAGACAATGGATAGGGGGTGACTGCTATACTTTGGTTTTGCACGGATGTGTGGAAGATTCAAACAGAGAGAGAGTTACTCCTGAAAGAAATTCTTCATTATATTCTTTTTGAACAAAATAATAGCAAATTTTGGCAGATGGCTTCATGCCTCCCCTGTACCCATCTCACACCCCCCCAGTTTGGGAACCAAATGTTTTAGGGTAATTATTGACGAGTTACTCGCCGCTGATTTTTCAAAGAAAACGAGTTTAGAAATGCTGCAATTTCACTGGGATTTATAGTGGACACTGTCGTAGTTTGTGCAAATGTGTAAAAAAGTGGTTATTTCTCAATTAAACCTAACCTAACCTAGATGATAAGAAAAACAAGTGGCAGAAGTGTTATTAGAAGACTGTACCAATCTAACCAAAAGAAACATACCTAACCTAACCTAGCTTCCTAGCTATGAGGCTCCGTCCCTTTGGACCCCCCCCCCGACATTAAACTAAGAAATTACATTGATAGAGTGTAATTTTACGTTTTGGGTGGATAAGAGCAGCCGCCCGGACCAAGCAGCTCGTAAACATACACTGAGCATAGGCGTCGATCAGGGCGCCAGCAGAGCACAGTGGAATGTTTTGAAATACCCTGTACATCAATGTGATTGCCTGCTTACATCTGGGATGCGGCATCACTGCCAAGACAGACAAAGTATTGCACAAGAAATGATTATCATTATCAGAACTCACTGATGAAAATGTAGTAAGAAAATAAACATAAAAATAAATAACATGTCAGTGGGTGTCTTGTCAATATTAACCCATTTTAGTGCATATTAATAGTATTTCACCTTGTTTTACCTCGCAATTTCCCTTATCCTTTATACCCTGCCCTCTGCAGCTGATTTATGTTCGAAGATCGAGGGAAAAATGGTTATAATTAAAATAGGTTATCACCTCTTTAAAAGTACTTAGTATAATGATAAGAACATTTGTGGAAAAAAATTAATGGAGTCAAACAACTCCTTCTGGTGGTAGTAGTATTCTCATAAATGACCATAAGTTTTTATAGTGTATTTCATCTTGTTTCATACGAATTTGACCTTCATCTCTGTCGGAAATGAGTAGTTATGGAGATTTGACCCCCTTCCAATTACCAGCATGTTAGGTATTATTTTACTTTCTGACAATGTGGGAATCATAGGAATTTTATCTTTACTATACGTAGTTACGAAAATTCTAAGACACTTTTTTCTATGACATTTCCCATGAAATCAACCTATATGTGCCATGGGGGGGGGGGGGAGTTCCCCAGTAGGAGGTTAGGTTAGGTCATTTGTGAAGGAACTATCATAGATGGAATGTGTCTTAGAATTGTCTAAACTATAAAAGATAAAGTTCCTAAGATTCCGGTGTTGTCCAAAAGTAAAAATTTACCAAATGTACGTTGCACAAAGTAAGCAGGGCTTTGAAGTAGAGGGGAATTGTGGGTAAAAACACGCAATAAACTGATGAAACGAAACTTACTAACCAGAGAAACCAGAAGGACCTGATTTAACCTAGCCAGGGGGCTATATCAATTATTCCAATCTTCACGAAACTGAGTCTGAATCTCACCTTGGACACTTGACTGAAGAAGGGAAAACACCATGAGCCCTTAAAATGTCAACAGCTCTGGTTTCGTTCTCAAAAACTTGCCAGAAATGCTGAAGAGTAAAGTATCGATATTTTTTTTCTATATCTCCCTTTATAAAAATCAATATAGAGGTCAAAGCGTATATAGGAATTAATATAGAGTTCCATGCTTGGCAACTAATAAATATTAACCTTTTTTTTTTGGTTTATTAATTTTAGCAAAGGTGTAGAAAAGGGTCGTCACTTAATTTTTTTTTTTTTTAGATTCTCTTTAATGCTCAATTGATAAATATCCAAATTAACTGCATATTAATAATGGTTTACAGGTATGACCAAGTTTTAACAAAAACTTTTGTTATAATACATAGAATACAATTATAATCGGGAACAAAGGGAAAAGTAGCTATGACTAATAAAAAAAATTAATGGTAAGCAGGCCAGAGCACCTTTGTAACTCCTGCAAATGTAAGCAAACTATCTGTGATGGTGTCTGATTTAAGTAGGAATTAAACCTAAAAACAGATGAAAGGTGCAGAGGCCATGTTATGACCTACTGGTACAGTTCCTGCCTTAATAATAAGAAATTCTTAATAACTTTATTCTAGCTCATATGCTATTTGTAATCATAAAAATTTACCTTCCTTTTGCATCATAAATAATGAACTGTACATATTTGAAAATAAAAGTGATTACTTATCTTCTTACTACTCTACAGTTTTACAAATCAGGGGATCACCTGAAGCAGCTCCACCCGTTTTTTTCACTAATGATTAAACACCCTAATGCTAACCTAACCTAATCCCCCCTCCCCAATTAGCATTAGGGTAGCTAATATTTAGGTGAAACTAGTTGGATGGCGATTCTTCAGGTGATCTGTATGTCAATACTTTTATTAAATGTAAATCCAGTGAACAGTCATTGAGTATCATCAGCATTTTATTCCAACATTTTAAGAAATTGATTAAAGAATGAATCACTTTGACAAAATGAACTAATTAAACCCGACAACCTAGACAAAATGAACTAATTAAACCCAACTTAACCTACTTAATTTAAAAGAATTATAAAATAATTAAATTAGGCTAGGTTAGGATGGTTGAAGACGTTGGTTAACATCACAGTTTGATAATACAGTAGTATAGGTAGTAAGAAATTTAACACATTGAAATTAAACACACCTTATATTATTAGTTCATAAATGTTGTGAATGATAGTGATCACAGTGCCTGTGATGGTTATTTTTAGAATATTTGAATCCTCTCTAGCAATGCTCTGCAGCAGTTTATTGACTTTATTTCAAATTTACATTACAGAGTACGTACAAGTATTTAGAAGTCTCAATTTTTGACACATGGTTCATAACAGATGTTAACAAACAACTTTTATTCTGATAAAGTGTTCAAACACAGGCAACAGTGTAAATGTAATGAAGCTATTGTACAGTATTTTGAATTAATAATTATTATTATTATTATTATTATTATTATTATTATTATTATTATTATTATTATTATTATTATACTATTTCATCACTTAACAGCTTACTAGCTGTTTGGGTGGTTGGTCTTTTCTGTTACGTGTACAGTACTTTGTTATGACTTTTACTGTCCAGTGTTATACATTAAAACAATAGTTTTTGTGAAAATTCCAAATAAAACAAACTTATTAGTACCTTTTTGAGTCATTCTTGACAATTAATGTTTGTTTTAATTTAATAGTACACCTCAGCAAAAGCTGTGATGTTAAAAGTAGTCAAATTTTCTATCACCTTAATACCATAAAAGGTTGCTAGTTAGAACCAGTAACTTTAGGGCATTTCTCCAAAGAAGATAAATGCTTTCATACCTCATGGCAAGACAAAAATGTGGATGAGGAAAATGTTTTCCATAATATAATTTTTAAAAGTTTTCCGTTCTGAACACTTATCTGTGGCTGGGAGATCCATTCTCTGATGCCATTGTGGCTTTCGTTTATGTTTAGGATGGTTTGATGGTTCCTCTCACCAACAGTTTTTTCTTTTAGATAATAGGTTAGGTAGGGTTGAGTTGGTTCATTTTGCCAGACCATGGTGAAAGAGTCCACTAGTTACTCACGGTAACTGCTGGTCTATATTGACACCCTTACTTAACCTAGAATAATATTTATCTTCTATTAAAAAAAAACTGTCCATGAAAGGAACTGACGATATATACTAGATAGTACAGTATACAATAAGTAAAGGAGTGTTGGCATTGTTGGGGTAAGTTGACAAATAACCATTACAGGACTATATCTGCTTATAGCAGAAATTAATCTGTGAGTTATGTGTGACCTGAAGTGTTGCAATACTCTGTGATCTGCTCTTAGTACAGTCAGATATGGATCCTTGATGAGTTTTTCAGTCCCTTGAAAGCCATGGCTTGTGCTCATTAAGCCTTTGGGTACTTGGCAGGCTGAATTTCACCAGGTCACTCATTTATTCTCAACCATAAAATGGAATCTATCTCTCTCTCTCTCTAATTCATTGTAAACAAAAAAGGACAAGGGTTCAATAATGTTAAATTTCCTTGATGACTTTCTAAAGAAATGGAAAAAAAAAAAAAAAAAGAGGTAAATGGCTAACTTAATGTTGGCCACCACAGGTCAGGGTTTTGGAGGGATGCAAGCTGGGGGGGAGGTGTTGTGGACAGAAGACTATACCATTGACAACATGGGCTCCTCCCCCATCATAATAGCAAGTGATACTGGACAAGTAAACTTTCCTTTCTATAGAGAGTTGCCAACCAGTACCCCAGCCCCTCTGGGGGGTGAGTCTGAGGCTTGCGCGTGCTCCATTATTTGTCCTATATTTTGAAGCAACAAGTTGGTGATGATGTGAAAATAACCTTCCTTGGATAAGAAAATGCACATACTGTATCTATATTGATTCAGATCCGCATGGCGTGTCCATATACAATCAGTAATCATTGAGAAGAATAATTTTTGTGCAAGTGAAAGCTTTGGTCCTCCCCATCATACAACTGAAATTTGTCATAATTTTTATGCATTGTTTGAGTGTGAGTTATGAATTTTTATGAGCAATTTTGTTTGTAATGGTAGTAATGATACTGTCCCATGCATGAAGAAGCATGAAGCAACATTGTTACCTTGCACCTCCTTTTGCTTTATCTTAATTTGACTTTTGGGTGATTTTAATTTTACATATGTGTAACTGATTATTGAAGTACCTGTACAGAACAAAATTTTATGCAGTAATGGTATTACAGACTCTTATGTTAGCACAGCATATGTTGTAAAATTTATTGAACGACATTATTTTGATACTGAATTATCCATTGCAATTTTTTCTTCAGGTTATACCTCTGATTATTATGATCTTGAAATATTGTCTAGTTAAATAATGTTCAAATGCTTTATATAATTTTGGGTTCTTTTTGTAATAATATTTTTTTGTGCAGTATAAAAAGAATAAGTTAATTCTCTTTCATCAGGTGTTGGTGGTACAGATGGCACAGAAACTGACGCGAAAGGTGAGTCTTGGTCTCCACATGTTACGTACAAAGGCAAGCCCTTTGTAGCCGAGAGAGAGGCGTTCTCCGTCTTGTGTAATCTCACCCTCTTCGACCAGCTCAAGTGGACGCACAATGGCAAGCCTGTTGTAGCTGGGGAGGGGGGGTAAGGGAAACCATGACTTTAGTCCATCTTTGGATAAACTACTCAGTATCTAATTAGAGGTATAAAATACAGCATTTAGGCTTGCTAATATTTAGAAAGTGTAATTTTTTTTAATAAGGGGGTGATAAGCTTCCTTCCAGTCTTGGGTGAGGGGTACATGATGATAGATGCATAAAATAGATGTCTTCCTTACCTGTGCAAGGCTCAATGATTATATTAAGCTCATAATAGTAATGTATTAAAAAAAAATTATTTCAGCTCCAGTCCAAAATAACAATCCAAAAGTGACCTGTGCCTAAAACCTTTATCTACCAAGAATTTAATTGGTTGATTGATTCTTTACACACTCAGTGGACAATTTGCTTATGGATTGCCTCAAAAAACTACGAATACATGCAATAGAAGTATGAAAAATGTTTTATACACTCATTAATACTGGGTATGTAAGTTGTAAAATTAAGATACAGTACCTGTAGTGGCTTCTGTGGACAAAAGAACTATTACCTAAGGATCAGTTTTAGTAGAATGTTTGTTAAATGCTTAGAAAGACTTGTAGCCTAATATTTTGTTAAATGCTTAGCCAGTTTTAGCAGAATATCTATGAATTCCTTAGATAGAAAGCCTAAAGAGGATTAGGAGTGACTTTGGATCAAGGGAACCAAGGCTGTACAGTATTCCAATAAATGAGGCAAATTACATCGACTCCAAGTAATGAAATGAAAACAGATATACGGCAGGTGAAAGTGTGTTTCGTGGACCTGTTGGTCTATTAGGGATATTGTGGGTAAAATACACTGCATACAGTACTAAGCTTTTGGTGTGGGAGTAGGCAGTGTGGCCAGCACTTCCCAAATGTAAAGTTAGGTACCCATTTACAGCTGGATAGACTAGGGGTACAGTAAGTCCTTACCAACAACTAGGAAACAGGGCAAACATTGCATCCACTCAGCCACTTTTAAGGTTGAGTTCACAATTTTTTCTTTTATCCGATGGATGTTTTCAGTACGGTGGTCCCTCGATTAACGAACGGTTCAATTAATGAAATTTTGGTTAACAAATTAGCTCCCATAAGGGTTTTCGGTTCCATTAATGGAAAAAACTTTGATTAACGACAGCTTTACGAGAAACACGCTTTGTTGTGCGCATCAGCTGATCGGCTTGTCCGCCAATACAGCATTTGGTTCTATGTTTACATTTGTTTCCAGTGGAGTAAATATCAAGAAAGTTGTGCTCTTGAATATTTTTGCATTTTTTATATTAAAATTATTGGTCATTCTGAAATTTACCGGGTAGTTAACATATTGATAATATACAGTGCAGAAATTATTATGAAACATGAAGATGGCATTAGAACCAATGCACTCTGTAAAGAATATGGCATGTCATCATTGACTGCCTCTACAATCAGCTGTTTGATATGTGAACAAAGCTGCCGGGAATACGACATATACACCTCAAAGTAAGTTAAAATACACTACAGTATTCTCTTGTTTTTTATTAATTATTGTACAGTATACTGTACAGTACAGTACTGTATTTAGTTTATATTTAATGTTTTGTTAATTCTATTACCTTTGTACAGTACTTTGTATGTACGGTGATCCCTCGGTTAATGAATGCCCTGGTTGACGAGATTTCGGTTAACGAGTTACCTTCTATAAGTTTCTTAACTTCGGTTAACGAGCAATCCCTCGATTAACGAGTTTTTTACGAGCCGACCTCAACATGTTTTCGCTTGCATTTGGCGGTCCACCAGCTGTAGTATTAGTCCGCCAATACAGTAATCAGTTTTAGGGCTTAAATTCCTTACTATTTTAGTAAATATCAAGAAGTTTATACTATTCAATAATTTTAAAAGTTTAATATTAAATTTTTTTGAAATTTTAACAATTATTGAACATAATTGAAGGTAAGGAAACTAGTTTCATGCGCGCCATCCAGCTTTTTTCTGTGTTTGCAAGCAAATTATTGGTCATTTTGAAATTTATTTTACATATTGACAATATATAATGTAGTGCAGTGTTGATTTAAAGAAAATAATCTTGAATTACACCAAGTGAACGAAAATTTTATGGGTGAAATGGTGCCATGGTGTGACTTCTCTTCCACCCCAATGCCTTCTCTTCTCCCTTCTCCTCCACCCCCATTCTAATTCCCATCATCATCATCCAGGAGCCTTCTACATACACACCTCAAAGTAAGTGTACTTTTCTACGTTTTTTGTTGAATTTAGGCAATTTTTGGTGAGCTGGAACCAATTACCCAAAAACCCATTAAAATGGTGGTTTCGGTTAACGAGCAACATGCTGGAACGGATTGTGCTCGTTAACCGAGGGACCACTGTATACTGTTTCTGTGAGTTGGAACCAATTACCCAATTTCCCATTGAAATAATAGATTCAGTTAACGAAATTTTCGTTTAACAACCGACTCTGTGGAATCAATTGTGTTCGTTAATCGAGGGATCACTGTATAACTAATACAGTATACTGTAACGGTAATTGATTATGAAAATCTTATACTGTATCAGGAAGATTGCTGTTTTATATGTAACTGGTCTTGCTGGATGATAATATTGTTTGTCTTTACTCTGATCTCTCCCCATTACTGTACAGTACCTTCCCCAGATTTATCTGATCTATGGTGACTACTCCATCTTTCATTTAAGTCAGGAGTTCAATTTCTCTCTATATTAGCAAATGGAACTAATCCATTTCTTTCTGTAAGTCACTCAGTTTCATTTTTCTTGTAAGTCAATTTTTTACTATTAATTTCCTTTTTTCAGTGGCTAGCTCAACACACCATAGCCAGAGTACTGTAATGTCCCATCAAGTGTACTTGCCCATGGCACTGGGGGTTAGGGGTCCAAAGTGTTACAGTTATGTTAAGATTAACTAGAATTATTGTATAGGTAACCATTGTCAAAGAGTGGACTGCAACCCATAACATGAGGTATGGGAATCCCATCCTATTCTGTTATCGTTTCCAAAGTTTATACAATCATACTCAATCCCACATAATTATGAGATCAGAGTTATGATATAATTTGGTAGAAAAGGTACTGTACAGTAGTACAGTATGTATAGATAAGAAACATTGCATTCAGAATAATCCTGCTTTACCCTCTCTGAAGTTTCACAGAGTTAGGCTCCAAGCCTATTCTTTCATTTTTAAGCCTATTCTTTATGTAAAAAGTACTGAGAATACTGTACTACCATTTTTCTGGTAATAATGGGCTCAGCATCTTTTTCATGACTGATTATCAGCATCTTGCCATGACTGCTGACCGCCACCATTACCAATACTGTTGGAATCACCGTTGCTAAATACCTCATTACTGCTGCCAACACATCCTCGGATACTGTTAACAATTCACAAATGTTGCCAGCACCATTACCAACTGTACTGCCAGTACCTGTAGCAAGTGTTTCTGATGGTACTACAGTACTGTATCTGTATATTAGCAATATTGTCTTCATTATCGGCCATTTTTTAAACATTCGGGTTACTTATTATTATCCCAAAAAGTGCCCTTCGAGCCGTAATTTATTTTTTTAAGCAAAATATACGTGATTTGGTTCGGGTTACTATTTAGTGATCTGAATTGTTATTGGAACATTTCGTGACAAGTCTTCCGGCCATTTTTTTTTTAACATTCAGGGAGGCAAGTCCAAATAGCAATTCCGAATGTCGGGTTAAGTTTTAGTAACCTGGCAAATGGATTTGCACATAATTTTGTTGTTTAAAAAAAATAAACCTTAGAAAATAATTCTCAAATAGATTAGTTTATTTTTTTTGGAAAATTATAGTGGTTTTTTCTACAAATACATGATTTTGGCTGTGTTAATTTATAAGAAAATATATTATTTCCGTTCAAATACTTAATGTTTAGTCAGAAAGAAGTATTATTTTGATTTTGTAAGCAAAAATATACATGAATTTATTTAATCTGTAAAAGTGCACTAGGTTTCTCAGTTTCATGTTTTTTTATTCATAGAAATACTGAATTTTCTCATAAACACGTGAGCTTTGATAGTTTTGATTATTAATCCCATAATTATCTAGAGTTGTAGATGTCCATATGGAACTGTTGAAAATTTTCACTCATTGGGTATGGGGGGGGGGGGCGCCATGGGTACAGGGTTGGCCAAAGGGGGGCGCAGTGCCAATAAGGTTTGGAACCCTTGGTATAGAGTGACCGGTTTTACTGTTGTTTGATGAGTATCAGTTTTTTTTCATGAAATATATGGTGGATATTGTATGTGCTGACACAATTACTGTATCACTAAATTCATTTGCAGAAACTAGTCCACACATGAGTTCGAACAATCCAAGCAACAGTAATGCAAACATAATATGAGGCAGATACCCGTTACATCTTAGGCTACAATATAATTTTTGAACAGATATAATGAGGGACTAGACCCATTGATCTGACAGTAAAACAATGGCACATGATATTTGGTGGGTAGATGTTTGTACTTGCATTTTACCTTGTTTGTCGCAAATGGGTGCGTCATTACTTTAGATATGAAATACAATACAGTATTAATGTAGCACCAACCTACTGTAATAAGGATGGTGAGCATAGTACAGGTACAGTACTGTAGAGTATGGAGAGTGACGTAGTGAATGTATAGAAACAGGACGGTGTAATGTCTTGCCCTTCTCTTCTGTTCTCTTTTTCATGTCCCCCTGTACTGCATATGAAGGGTATACTGTACTGTATATGTAGGGTATACTGTACTGCATATGAAGGGTATACTGTGCTGTATATGCAGGGTATACTGTGCTGTATATGCAGGGTGTACTGTACTGTATAATAATAATAATTAACGGTTTATTGAAAGAACAT